ATCGCAAATGATGGAAACGTATTCTGATTTGTATTCACTAGTCGTGCAAGCCCAATCATTCTATTTGCGAATGGATGAGACGAAATGAAATCCAGAAATTTGGCTTATTCTACCCGCAAACGCGTCAGCTTTATTACTTTCATTAATAATCATTCGGTTTCTCTTTGGATAAAGTGATGAATATCTGATAAATTTTTACTTGTCATGAATTTTTTATATATTTTTCAAAAGAAATTTTAGATAGCACTAGGAATCAAATGTATTTTATAAATTTTAAATTACATAGACTCTTGAACAAATAATTTGTGAATTAATTTTTTTTTTATAATTTTTCATTAAGATTATATAATATTGATTTTGCCTTGTATTCGATAAAATTAATTAATTTAAATATTAATTGTATATTTTTTAGGAATGCTTTAAAGATTACAAATAGAAAAAAAATAGATTCGACAAATGAATATTCAATAGTGTCAATTTTCAATAAAATGATTCAAAATTTTTTTTTATTTCTTTGTTATTGAATTGAAGTTTTTGTTTTTTAAATCTCATTGCAATCGTCAAATGATTAAAATATTCGTATCACATCAAAGATACTAAAATATTTATAATATATCATATTTTGTAAGATTGCTCAGAGATACATTGTAGCTGAAAATATAATATTTTTATTTTTAAGATTAAGATAGATTGTAATTATGAAAGAAAAATAAATGAAATAAAATTATTCTTTACCTGAGATAAATTATTTTGTCTATGTTCACGTCAAAATCAAATATAAATAAGAATAATGAGAAAAGGACAGAGATACGATAAAAATATTGAAATTAGCGCCATCTCCAGAGTGCATAAATGAAACTTATAAAGAAAGGATAGAAAATAGTAGAAAAAGATAAAAATAAACTAAGAATTGATTACTAACGTCATCTTTTAAACACCAAAGGTACTTCTTCAAAATAGAATTGATTACTAACGTCATCTTTTAAACACCAAAGGTACTTCTTCATAGAGTTAGATAGAAAACTCAAAAGATAGCGTTAATACTCAATTCTATTTAAAAAGAATCTTAAAATTGCATTTTAAAAATGCACTTAAAAGATGGCGCTATTAATCAATTCTTATATTTCTATCCTTCTCGGATTATTTGTTTTCTTTGTCTACATTTGTGTTTAATTTGCGGCATTCTAGAGATGGCGTTGATATCAATATTTTTATCCTATCTCTGTCCTTTTTCCACTATTTTCTCTCCTTGTCTACAAAATTTAATCTCAAAAGACTAATCTAATAACTGAGTAATTATTTAGAAATTTTAACTTTTTGTATAAGAAAAAAGATTTATTTTTCATTTACTATATTTATGCATAAATTGAATATATTGCATGCAGTATAAAAATTATAAAAAATTTGATTTCAAATATTGTAAATAAATAATAAATATGTGGTGTTAATGTGTTTAAATGTATCTTGTATCAAATATAATAAAGAACAAGATTCAATTAATTATAATATTACTAAAATAATGAATAATTTATTATAAATTTTTCTTTTTCATATTTTAAAGTATGTATTAAAATTAATAATTTATTTTTGAACAAATTTTAACAAATCACTAATAATAATTATGTTCTAACCTCATTTATAGTTAAATTTTCATTAAATACTTACATCTACGTACATTTCACGACATAATTATTACGAATATGGCATCAATTTTAAAGACTTTTAACGGAATTCAACTATTCAATAAATGTTTGAAACAGAGGTATTGCTTAATAATTATATATAATTAATAAATTTAATTTGTATATTTAGTTTATTGTATAAATTTTCAAAAAATAAATTTGTTATTTCATTTCATTATTCAAATACTTATTTCTATTAATATATTTATTTTAGTATTGATAAAATATATATTCCTAATCGTGGTAAAAGATTGAATCCTCCACCAAAGAAACGTCATCCAGAATGGCTTCCAAAACCAACACGTGTAGTATGTATTTTAAAAAATAAAAATAATATTTTATTTCTTAATATTTTGTAAGAATTTTATATAAATATTGTTATATAATATATAATATTGTTTATATTAGTTATATAATGAAGAACTTACTTCAGAAAATAAAGAATTTCTCTCAGAAATTGTTTCATCCACTAAAGGATTACTCAATAATAATGCATCTCCATTAAATAAAGAATTAATTCAATCAAATGCAACATGGACTCCAGGTTCTAAACGTACTGGTTTAATTGGCAAAAAGATAGGAGTATATCCAATGTGGCTAAAAAATGGGAGAAAAGTATTAACTACTCTAATACAGGTATTATCATATAATAAAATATTGAATTTTATATAACCTTATATTTAAATTCTCCATTTCTTTCTAATAGATTGTAGATAATGAAGTTGTAAAATATATACCCCCAGAAGAATATAAACCAATTAAACCTATTAAACATAGAGTTAAAGTACGAAATGGCTGTCTTGTATTAGGTGCTATAAATATTGACCCACAATTAGTAAGTTGCAATTGATCTTTTTTAATGTTTATTCATTATTTTGCAAAAATAAAATTTGTATTATTAATTTTTGTATTATAAATTTTTACAGCTTACTAAAGAATATTATGGAATATTTAATTCAGTAGGAGTTACACCAAAAAAAATATTAATGAGATTTACAATTTCACCAAATGCTGTTCTCCAACCAGGAACTCCTTTAAATGCAACCCATTTTAAACCAGGAGAATTTATTGATATTCGTGGAAAAACGTAATTCTTTTATCAATATTTGTAATCTCAAAATTTGATAATTTGAGATAATCTGAGATAAATCTGAAATATTTAATAATCAATTATAATAATCTTTATAAATATAGAATAGATCGTGGTTTTCAAGGTGTTATGAAAAGATGGGGCTTTAAAGGTATGCCTGCTTCTCATGGTGTAACTAAAACACATAGAAGACCAGGTAATATAGGTTCAGGAGGTACAATGGCTAGGGTAATGCCAGGCACTAAAATGCCTGGACACATGGGAAATCGTTGGCGTATTCTTAAAGGTGTAAAGGTAATTTATAATTATATTCTTTTATGGAAAAAAAATTTTAAATTACTTTTACTTTAAATACATCTTACATAGATTAATAAATTTTTATTTTTTCTTTTGCAAGCATAATCATTTAAAAAAATTAGCATATAATTTTATATTGATATTATATGAATTCTTATAAAATAATATATTTTTTTATCAGTTATATTTTTTCTTAACCATTTATATTTATGATAAATTATAAAAAAAGTTAAAAAAATGAACTAAAAAAATAATTCATTCTCATTCATTTTCAGAAATGTATGAAATAAGCAAAAAAACTCAATATAGTTTAATCTTTTTTCTTATTATTTTTTTATGTATAACAATATATTAAAAAGTACAATTAAATTTCTATTTTTCAATAGAATCACGTAATTTGTTTTAGCATTTCCAATTCATCAATTAGATTGAATAAGTAATTTATTAATATAGTAACTGTATCAAATTATTATTTATACATAATATATTTTATATATGAACACTATTTGTTGTAAATATTTTTTTCAAATTTTATACAAAGATAATGAATATTTATTTTTTGTATAGAATTTTACAAAAAAAGTATTTGAAGGGTTGAGGATCAATATAACTACAAAAATCTATTTAATTTCTTCATTCATCTGTAATAATTGTTAAAAATTATGCATAACATGTATAACATTTCAGTTAATTTTTTTTATACAATTCGTATTTAAAAAATGAAATATTTTTTCCATATAAAATGGAAATAAAATATATTAAATTTTGAAATGTTTACATGAAATACTTGAACAAGTAAATATTTATGATGAAACATTTGAAGATCTCTTTACATTATTAAACAATTACAAAATATTAATTTAAATGTATATTACTTTTGAAAGGAAGATATTATACAGTAATGACATTCTAAAATTATTTTACAACTAACAAGAAACATATATTCACAATTTATAAAACTTATATTATTCATTTATTATTTATTTAAAAATTATAGATTGTAATGTGAATCATATAGAAATTTTCAAGAATGATAAATTAGTAATACATCAAATAATTCATTAATGAGACACATAATAATTATTCCTAATATTCTACAAACAAACAAAAATTCTAATTATAATTTCATTTAAATATGTAAAATTAATACAAAAACAAAATTAAATTTTTTTGTTTAGCTTTTTGGGCATTATATGTGACTACATATAGTTTTTTTTCCATTAAGTAAAATAAAGATTTTTAACTATTAAAAATCATGAAATAAAAAACATTGTAATAAAAAATCTTAATTTCTTATAATTGCAATAGTGAATTAGCAGTAATTATGAATAAATCGTTGTTAAAATTCAATTTTTAAAAAAAATTTATGGATAAAATAATAAATAATTTTAACAATATAATATATTGAAAGATTATTAACAATGTTATTAAGAATTAGAATGACTTCAAATTATTATCGAACTTTTGTATATGTTGCAGATACTACGAATAAACACTAAATATAATGTAATTTGGGTATTAGCTCAAAACGTACCAGGAGAGCTAAATACTATGTGCTATTTATACGATACGATTTTACATACTAAAAAAAGTACTTCGCCATATTTTCCTACATATTTGCCAAATGAAAGTGAACTACCTGAAAATCTTTATGCAGATGATGTTCATCCATTTGAGAATCCTACAATTGAATTCAAATCAGAATCATAATTGTAATAATGTAATAAATAAAAAATATATATAATTATAAGAACATGTTTTATGAAAATATTTAAATCTCTTCAAATTTTTAGATAACCTGTCTATTCACGCTATCGAAAGACTAGGCAAAGATCGGCAATTAATGTTGCCGCATTTACGTAATAGTTTTATTGTTTATCCTCTTCCCCTTACAGAAATAATTCATAGTCATGAATTAAGCTAATAAAGAGTAGTCAATTGATTTATTTATTTAGTAATCAATATTATTATAAATTTAACATGCCTAAAATATACACGAATTATTTTATAAATGTAACATCACTAACCAAGATTCATCTCAAGTTAGAGTGGAGAGCAGCACGATCAAACAATAAAAAAGTTTTTCTTTTCTTTTTCTGTGACGCTCTTCAATTTAGAGAGCAAATTCATTAATTTACTAGAATAATTTAGTCGGTGTAATGCATATCAATAGCTGCATTCAGTTCCGCTCCACTAAGCATTTTAGTATGTGCAACGGAAAAGGAAACAAGGTAAAGTACACATCGTTCAAAAATAAAAAAAGGAAAGAATACAAATTCTTATTTCAATAAGAAACTCCTTTGCTCTGTAACTTTAGCCTCGTTTTTTTTTCTAATTTCTCACTTTTTGGACAAACCAAAAATGTAAGTCATAATTTTATGTTTTTGAATTAATAAAACCAAATACAATTGTTGATTCAACAATGTCACGTTGAAATTGCCACATGTAGTCGTTGAAGAAAGAATGAGACAGAATATAAAAGGGTAAGCAGAATGGCTCCATAATGGAGATTTTCGGGGGACGGCACGATCAGATAAAAAATAATGGAGGCCCTCTCAGAATTTAAAACCTTCATTCGAAATGCTCGTCGTCTGATCGAATTCAAATGTTGATTCCACAACTTGTGGTTCCAGATTTGTATCATTCGTCTAAAAACATTAGAAAATATATATTTTTTCATATTAAAAACATTAATGGAAATTACTTCTTAATTATAAAAATAAGATAAATACATACATCTTCCGAAAAGTATTGCTCAATAATTTCGTATGCTAGTTTATAAATATCTATGTTGTCGTGATTTTGTAATGTTTCGATTTTATCCAATCCTATGAAAATACATTTCATAATATAAATTTATATATTTATTTTTGTGTACTCAATATTATATATTATAAAAGAAAAAAAGATAAATACTAACCTGAACATTCTTCAATCATATTAGCCAAATGTTCAACTTGTGATCCAGCAAGTTTGAGCATATTATGTATACCATCTAAAACAACCTGTACAACTTGAGTATCTTTACAATCAAGGAGGTTACAGAATGGTCCAATAACACCTTCTTGTATCATTCGTGCAACCTGTTCTTCATTACCACTTATTGTTAAATTGCTAATTGCCCATGCTGCTTCTTTTTGTGTTTGGAATTCACCCTGGTAAAAGATAAATTTATTATTAAAACAAATGATTCAATTTAACAAATTTCAATATTTTAATAAAAGTATTTTCTTACATTAATTAAATTGTGAATAATAAGAGGCAGTAGTCCAGCATCTATAACTGCTTGAACCTGAGATTGATTGCCAGCAGTTACATTTGAAAGGAACCAAACTGCTTCTTTACAAATTTTTTCCCTCGTATGGGTTAATAAATTCGGGAAATATGAAAGCGCGTCACAATTTAATACAGTTTGTGTTTGTTCGTCTGTACCTGTTACTATATTACCTACTGCCCTTAAAGCAGCTGTTTGCACCTTAACTTCTTTGTGCGAAAGAAGTGGTATGAGACGAGGTACTACACCACTATCTATAACCATCTGAATTTGTTCATTACCACCATCAGTCAAATAACTCAATGCCCAAATTGTGTCGACAAGAATCTGCAATTTTATTTTGTATATAAACAATTATTTCTAATTATAAATACATTAAAGATTATTTTTTAATTATATATAATATATATAATATTGTAACTTACATTAATATCTGAATGATGAATAAGTACATTAAGAGCAGGTAAAATTTCCTTAATAGTTTGAACAGGTGGTGGTGGATCTTTATTCCTACATAAATTTACGATTACCCAAGTTACATTACGTAAAAAACTAATTGGTATTTCTGGTTTGATAAACGTTAACAATGGCGGTACAACGCCAAGCTTGATAACATAATCCCTAGATGCTGGGCCATCTCCAATAATATTTCCTATAATGAATAAAAATATATGAATAATAATAGAATATGTATATGTTTTAGTTCAAACAATAAAAAATGAAAATAAAATAATAATATATCAAAACATAATTTAAATTTAATATCATAAATATTTTTTTTTAGATATGTTATAATTTTAATTATAATGTTTTTTTTAATATTTATATTAATTTACCTAAAGCCCATACAGCTTGTTCACAAACATTCTGTTGACTTGAAAGTAACAAATGCAAAAAGTGTGGAACTGCACCAGCTGCAACAACTGCTTGTGTTTGAGGTGATGTTCCACTTGCAATGTTTGTTAAAGCCCATGCTGCTTCAAATTGTAATGATGGACTATAAAGTATTAAAAATTAATAATAATGTATTAATACTAAAAAAATTACTAAACTAATAATAACAAAACATTAAAAATAATAGACTCAAATACTAAAAATTTATATTATTATATTATTATATATTATTTATATATATTATTATATTATTATTATATTATTACTAGAAAATTTATCATAATTAATCATAAAAAAATATATATATTCTAAATTTATAAAAATATTAGCAATCAAATTTCATTTGTGATCAAATATTTTTTTTCTAATAAAAAAATAAGCTAATCGTAATGTGTGCTATAAATTAAGATCGTATGCAAATTTAATCATACCTATTGTGCTGTTCAAGACAATTAACTAAGATCGGTAAAATGCCACTATCAATTAACTTATCGATCGGTGGATTACGATCTGAAGATAATAACTTTCTTGCTGATTGTACCGCTTGTAATTGAACAGTTGGATCTGAACTAGCAGCTTTCATTACTAGTTCTTTTAAATTGATTTTTGATAAATCAATGTTTTGTTTATCACTATCTTCTTCATCTAAAATAAAATATTATATTATAACTTATTTTTTATTTAATTCTTTATATTTATATAAAAAATATATTTTTCTATTTATATATATATATATTATATAAAATATATTATATAAATATATATATTATATATTATATAAAATATATATGTTTATATTTAATAATTTTACCTATTAAATCTGTAGCAGGCACATTTCTTCTTTTCTGTAAAGTTTCATCACGTTTATTTTTCCGTAACTCTACTGTTGCTTCATTTCTTCTTCTTCTCATTTCCTAAAACATATTATCATTTAAATGCTTTTAAATCATTATTAAGTAATATTTATATAATACTTTAATCTTTCTTAAATTTATCTAAAAAAAGATTATATTAAATTAGAATATTTATATTGCAAAAATAATATATAATATATAATAAAAAAATAACTAAAATTTCTTTACATATAAAAAATACATATTTACATATAAAAAATATATTATAGCAATTTTAAATATTTAAGATTTTTTTAATTTTAATATTAAAATTAGTTTCAATAATATTAATTTTAAAAATTAAAATAATATATTGTGTAATAATAATTAACATTAACTATATTTTTATGATAAATAAAAATTAAATTAAAGGTTAAATATTTTGCTTTATGTAATATAACAAATACACAAATAGACATAACAATCATATATTTTTTAAAATTTGATAATATAATTATTTTAATATATATTTATTTGAATTAGTTTTCAAACTTTAATGACCATATCAAATTTCATAATTTAAAATATGTTTAATAATAATATGAAAATCTTACATAAAAAGATAAAGTATCATAATAGAAAATATACATAAGAAAATATACACTTATACTTAATAATTAATAAAATATTAATATTATATTATTAATAATCTCTAACTATGATAATGGAAAACTTTATTTTTTAATATTTTTTCATCAATATTATTTTGATATTTATAAAAAATTAAAATAAATTTTAATACATTATTAAAATATGTATATAGAGAAATATATTATTTACATATTATAGAATCAAAATTATTTGTAATATCTTTTGAAAGATTTTTTAATTATAATAAAAAATATGTAAAAAGAAAAGTGAATTATTTGTGTCAAAAATAAAAGGTAAATAAAAGTAAATTATTTATAAGTTTTCAAAGAAATAATTAAAATAATATAACTTTTCTTTTTTACAATTATTCGTTCAGTTCTATCTTTGATAGTGCTATATTTGACATTAATGTAGCGACACTTTCCACTTGTTTCAGAATTGCATGATTCTATTCAAAATATAATACTGTTATATTTGATAAAGTTATATTAAGAATTTTTATGGATTCTGTGCAAAATAAATATACAGAAATATCCAAAATTCCAACTGAAATAACAAAATATGCAAATAAATTGCACAAATTTGGAAAAATTAGCGCCCATGATAATGTTCATTTAGTCGCCCAGTTCAGTAGCCGAAACTTCCAGACGTATAACGTAACTGCGCACAACGAAGAACACACTGGATACTCACTTCTTGATCTTTGCCTTTGTTCTTAAAAACCATCATTCGATTCTTGCATTCCGCCGCCATTTTTTCAATAACCAATCCTTCGTACTCGCGTATATTGATATGTGCCGGCACCCAGATACCCGTGTTACTGCGAAAAATTCTGTATCCGTGTTACTCCGGTCGATTTACTTCGACAGCTGCATGCCGTTGCGCGACAGCCTTAATGTACGTCAATATACAATGCAATATAATGTATAACACTCGTTCTCTTAATCACGATCGCCACACAATGTTCTCCGTAGTCACGTTTTCTCAGCACGAAAGCAACGTTTCAGCCATTCCGAAAAGAACATCGGAAATGAGCAAGGTGGCGCTTCGGAAGACGCGTGTTTTCACTATGCAATCAGTAAAATCTAATCGGCAAGCAATAGAGTCACGGATTATAGCAAATTCTTATCATCTTAAAGCTATATGTTCATGAGCATTTATGTTTCATAAGTAACTTCTGTGTTTTTAAAATTAGAATTAAATAATAAAAAAATTAATTTGGAATTATTTTTAAAAATGATTTATTATAATAAAAAAAATTTATATTCATTAATAATAAAAAAAATAATAATTTCAAACATAATAATAAAACATTTATAATAAAATGAATCAACAACAATTGATATGTACGATTGCAGTTAATATATTTATGTTGGTATCTATTATGTTGGTATCTACAACTAAAAATTAAAATCTCTATACATTATTTGAAATCGACTATAGTTATATTGCAGTCTATAATACAGGAAATTTAACTTAAAATAAATTTGTTTATTATTTATAAAAAATAAATAAAACAATGAAACTTGTATTGTTGCTCTTATAGATAATAAGATTAAATTTTAAATGTATAAAAATTTTTTATATGTTTTTATAGATTTTGACAAATAAAATTTAGAAATAAGAATCTTAATTGTCAGAATTAATGATGCAAGAATTATTTGTACATTTCGTATTTTTAGGGATTTTTGCAAGTTACGTGATGGATTCTTATCCAATCCGCTTGAAGAAACCAAATTCAAATTATTTTTTTAATTAAAGAACTTATTATAATATATTTACAACTATTTATTAAAAAATATATTATTATAAATATTCGCATAAATAATAATATAAAAAATTATCATTGTGATATTATTCTCTTTCTATATCTATCTGATTTTTAAAATTTTTAAATTTTTGTGTTTGTTTAAAAGTCTAAGATTTAAACAAAATTATTAATGATATGCTTCATATTACTTTTGCATTAAATATAATTTCAACAAAATGAAATATAAATATTAATTTTTTGAAAAGAATTAGTCGAGATATATATAGTATTTTGGATTAGTATTTACTTTCTGGATAGGATATTTTTCTACCACATAAATGGTCATAATATTATATTGTTTCCGAGATAATCGAATTACAGCTCCACAATAAGTTCTAAGAGTAAAATAATATCCAAATTCTAAAGCTACAAAAATAGAAAATCCTAAAAAAAGGCCTGCAATACCACCGAATGATACAAGTAAATCTAAATAACCAAATCGCATTTCTCTTTTATGGAGAGCTGTTGGCCAGTTTTTTAACATAATTTGATTTTTATTTTTACCTTCAAATGTTTTCATACTTTTTACACTATATGATGTATGGTCACAAAAGGGCCAACAATTACATTGGGTTTTATCGATATTAATATTGTTTAAACAAGGATACTTTGAAATTGGACATTCTGTCTTATCGACAAATGATAAAAACCATGGTAAACATTTACAATATTTAAATAGTTTATCGGTTATGCAATCAATTTCGCAATCAATAAGATTTTTACTCTCTTGCTTATAATAACATTGTCGTTGTCGAAGAGATAAATATTTAATATCAGAAGTTGTATATGTTATATCAACAACAAATTCTATATCTAGAGATTTATCTACTATAAGAGATCTTTCACCTGGTTCTGGACTCGAATTATTTTGTTCCATGAGATAAAATCTACAATATGAAAAATGAATAATAACATATAATAATTATATTAACATTTTTTATATTCTACTTTATACATTATATAATTTTTTAAATATAATCAATAGCATTTATGATAAAAAAATTATTTATAAAAATTAGATTTTGATATAAAAAAATGATTGATTTGAATTAGGTGAATTAGTCGATTGAATTAGTAAATATTACCTTAAAGGAAAACTTGAATTAGGGATTTTAAATTCAAGATTCCATGAAATATCTATATATTTAAGTGACTCTAAATTTTTAGATTTACAACATATACCCACTGCAGTCAATACTTTCGTAAATATATTTTTACATGATCTATTCATTCCTCTAAAAAACAATATAATTTATAATTTAACCAAATATAAATGAGTTTTTTTATAATTATAATAATAATTATTTCTTTTTTCTAAATAATTTTGTCTTATTTTAAAATATTAAACTTTGAGTAATTATAAATATGTATATAATATACGTATATAATGTATATAAAGATAATATTTTTAATTTCATAAATGAAACAAAAAAATTATACATATATATTTATCATATTTACCTGTATGCACAGTTACTAAATAAAGAATCACAATCAAGTTCCATCGCTTTAAAAATTTTTCGAAAATTGTTTTTATTTTTATAAATTGGATTAAATGATTTCACATCAATATATTTTCCAATATTCCAATTGTATAATTCCTCGTATACATACATTTCATTCTATATATATGTATATACATATAAATATAATGATACAAATATAATATTAAAATATTTCAAATAAAATATATAATTCAAATAAAATAAAATTATATTTAAAAATGCGTTTACCTCAAGTATATGCGAATGATTCAAATGAATCCAGTCGAAGCAAATAAAGATTTGAGGAAATTCGATATTAATGTGCTCTGTTAATACATCTACTCCGGTTATTGTTGGTTGCGTTTGAAATTTGTTCAAGATAATTACGATTGTAATAAAAGTTGCTATTATTGATGTCACTGATAAAAATAACCATATTAATCTGCGGACAATTATATATATATAATAATAATAAGTAATATTAATATAGCAAATTGACAATTTTTGAATCATAATTTTTAAAATTTGATTTTCATATTTTTCGATTTTTTAATAAATAAATGAATAATTTTTAGAATGAAATATATATAATATGTTAACTAAGATTAATTTATTGTTAATTAATGTTATTTAATTTACATAATTTAATATATTAATTATATAAAATCATGATATTACCTTTCCCATTTAGGTCGTGTAGTATCCACGAAATATGGAATGCCATGTAAACTATTCTGCAACAAATATTCTCTTGATCTATATTTCAAACTATTACGTAATTCTTTTAAAGATATATTATACTTATATTTCATTTTGGATCAACTATAACTATCTTTATAGTTATACTAATACTAAGTAGAATAAGGAAATCTAATTGATCCCTTTCTCGAATTGCATGTCAAGTTTGAGCATGTATTATGCATGTTGTGCACATAACACGATTAATTTATCAGCTTTATCAACTAAATAGAGAAAAATATGATTTTAAATTAATATATTATAAAGTATAATAGCAAAACTCTATAAATATTCGTAATATAATAAAGCATTTTATTTAATTATTTAATTTCAATTATTTAAAGTATTTTCAATTATTTAATATATTTAGTACTATATTTTATTTTTAAATAAATAACAAAGATATCATAGATTTATTTCAGTGCAATTATTTCACATTTTCCTTGCAATTAGCAGAATATTATCATTTTGAAAAAATAACAGAAATATCTTTTTTAATCGAAAAATAAAAAAATATGTTACATTTCCTATTTAAAAAAAAAACAAAATAAAATAATATTTATTGTTTTTTCTTTTTAAGCTGAAAAACGATTGTCTACAGGAAACTATCGATAACTATTGGTTTATTCGAAGTATTGTCTTTCGAATATACGTTTTTCCAGTTGTATCTCGTCATTTAAGAATCGGCCATCGTACGTGAAAACACAAACATTCCTCATCTTCGTGTCAGCTTCTTTATTATTTTAGACCACCCCCTCTTACGACCACCATCTGCATGCATACCGACGCTGTTCCGGTGCTCAAGGAAAATCGGCGATCAGCAACTTAAGCGGGTGTAAACTACCCTCTTGATGTCTTCCTTGGATCCAATTTCATTTAAAAACTTCCCATATTTCGGAACGTAATGGGAAAAGTTATCGCTTTTCACCGTCAATATTGGAATATTGTTTTCCTAACCTAAAAGACATATTTTGTCCATTAAATATATTAATCGAAATTTCGTAAACTTCGAAAAGAAATATCATATAGAAAAATTTAAACAGTAAAATCTTTATCTTCTTTCTGAGTTACTTAAATTTTTTTGAATGAAAAGAATAACGAGGACAACATCTCTCTCTCTTTTTAATCGAAATTATACACATCGAAATAATAAAAAGCTCATCTAGAAGTAGAGCAAAAGGAAGAAAAAAAAGAAGAGGAAGAAAAATGTAAAAAAATTCGCTTTGTTCAGGAAGACGTTTGACGCACGGGCGAGAAAATACTTCGGAGAAAAAAGAAGCGGCGCTATTCTTGCGTCCAGGTGTGAGCCTGTAACGCCAGTGTAAATATACAACACTTACGCCATTCCAAAGGAGCCTCTTCGAAAACTATTAACGTATTCCTCTTATATTGCGGCTTCGCCGACCATTTTTCCGTTCTGGCCCATTTCTCTTCCCATTGGACCGTTTCGGCACATTAAGTGGCACGTGTTAGAGAACTTAATCAGGTGGACCACCGTTGTCAAACACCCACCGACACGATCATCGTTCACGTTCGTCCAAAGATTTCAAGTGTCATTTCGAAAGCACCCGTGATTTCGAATTTGAGAATGACTTTCTGTATTGTCAAGTGTAACTAAGCGTGTGATCTATGAACATTAGGATGCATAAATATACATAAATTGATTCTTCTGAATGTCCTAAATAAATATTTCATAGTGTTGAAAAAAAATGGCGAATTTCGTTTAATCCTTAATTGGAGTGATATAAATTTTAGAAAAATCGAATAACATTTGGATCTTTACGTAGATTTTCGAAAGATAAGTAGATACAATTGTACTTTTAGAGATAGAAAAAAATTATTAAACAGAATAGAAAATTTTCCTTCACAATTATTACCAATGTAATTACAATTCGATTATTATACATATTCTTCATACAAGTACGTAATTGTCCTCGATTTTCAATGGATGTAAGCTCAATGTTATGATAGAAATTTATTATCATAAGATTTGTGACTATATTATTATAATAGATAATGTTTCACTAATTTTATTTATGTGTGATATATGACTGTTATGTCGATGAACTTTTCTTAATTGGTGACTTTTCGTAATTGATCTGCTTCTTGTTCAAATTGATTAGATTTCAAAACTTTTCATATACTTAATGCTCAACATCGTTCAAACTGAAATGGAATCGGATTACTGCGCGTCAAGAATACGATAGTAATAAACGATCAAGCTAATAAACTAATAATATAATTTATTAAACAAACAATTTCTGGAAACTTACTTTTATAATGTATTTAATTTTATTATGAAACATCATGTGTACAACGAATTTTGTCTATGATGAAAATAAAAAAAATCAATGTTTTTCTTAAATTATTTCAATTGTTAAACATTTAACGATAACAATAATAAAACAAATTACGAATTTTTAAATAATTAATTCGTCAAGACGAATAATTTACATATTTACGTATCACGTATCGTCTAATTTCATCGTAATGAAGATTTGATATTTCAATATGACGTTAATAAACATAACATGATTTTCATTCCCATGATTTACGTAACGCGTTTAAAGAAGCAAAACAACGATTCGAAAAGCTAATTTTTACATTACATCCGATTAATCGAGATTACACACATATACGAGAGATGAAAGATGGTGTAGTGGTGGTGATCTGTTTATCGCGATCAGAAGCTGAAAAGTCAAGTTATTCACGAACAGAGTGGCAGAGTGGGGTAAGTGGCGCCCAGTTGGACACCAGTGTATCAAACTGATCGCGATATACACTGGTTAATTATTAGTGGCGCAAAATGCAAGCCATGTCTTTACGAATAACTCTCCGACAGATTTGATCTTCGTGTTTTTTTTTTTTTTTTTTTTTTATTATTTCTTTACTTAAGTCTCCTTCGAGATCTCATCTTTAATAATTCTGATAGTGATTGATAGCCTCGTTGTAACGCGAATCCTTTGGAGAGGTTCATTAAATATCCACGCATACTTGATCAGGCCATCCAGGGATTGGACAATATTTATTTGAAACGGATGTTTCAAGAGATGGAATGAACGAATAATTATATTTCATTGTAATAAACGATTGCCTTATAAATTATCTCTCATGATATGTATTATTCATTTATATATTGTAATTTATGAAATATTTAAAGATGAAAATGTTTGCAAATAAATATCAAAATTTTATTTGAAAGCCAGTTTTGAATCAAAATATATTTAAGAATCAGAATTTTAATTTTACACATATTTTTGTAGAATTTTTGTCAATGAGTAAATATGAATCTTTGCACTCAAATATTATTCTGATCTGCAAGTTCATATCTGAGTTTTGAATCATAATAAATTATAATATTGTACAGTTGCGTTAACAATTTATTTTTTATACAAATTGAAACTTAAACTTGTAGAAATTAAAAAGAAATTTTGTCAAACTATTAATAATTACACATCACATTTGTTTAATTCTCAAAATAAATTTATACGTTTTTAATAATAATAATAATTATTAACAATTGATTAAAAGCATTAATATATTCATCAAAGTGTACCACTAGTACCCACATAAACTCTCAAAGAAATTTCCTACGATCAAATCGATCACGACACACGAAAAAAATTAAGTTTATTCGATTAAAAGGAAATTTCATCCATGCCTAATAATATCGTGGCCCAAGGGTGGAGTCACGTAAGTTGGCACGTGTCAGAGATTAAAAGGCGCAACAAGAGGCCTCTACCCTTAAGTCGGCCGAAAAACCGACGAGATTACGAGGAACCACACCGCTTCTGCCTCTCCCCGATAGCGTAGGTCGAGCCACGACGATGATGAACTACGGCTCGTCCCTCCTCGCGTAAATCCTTGCTCGGTCTAAAATCCATGTGGGTGCCGTGAACACGCTTCGATCGTGCCTGTATGAGTGACCGAGTTCCCTTGTGTTGCACGCCAATACGAGCGAGTTCTCGAAGGCGGTCTTTAGTCGGTCTTTAGTTTCGAATAAGCATTCGTCGAAGATAGAGGACCCCTCCTCGATTTATCCTTTAACCGGCGGGTTTCCTCTTCCGGCTTAACTCTTCGATCCTTGTCCCTCGATCCTTGGCCCCAAAAGTTTCCAGCTTTAATCCCGCTGGACCTTGTACGGTGTTTCGAATAAAAATGAATTTATCCTCGAGTCGACTTTTTAATTTTCAATTTTTGAAATTTTGATAATTTGAAATTTGGAAAAATACCAAAATCTTAGTAATTATAGAATTTTGGAAAAAAAGAGAAAAATCTTCCACAAAATTTGCATTGTTCGGTGAACCATCCGGTTAAAGAAAAAAAAACAAAAAAAAAAAGAAGCAATTCGAAATTTAAAATAAAAAATTGCTTCGAATTCTTCGATTATCGAGAATTTTGAAAAAAAAAAAAGGAGTATTTTTTTTTTTGAGAAATTTTGAAACGAAATTCGTGTCGTCCATTCCAGAGGAATCGTTTAGAGGATTTTGAAAAAAAAAAAAAGAAAAAGAACTTGTTTCGGATTACCAAATTGTGAAAAATATAAATTGAAGCTGTCTAATTAAAGGGATGCAGACACAAAGAAGGTGACTGTTCGTGGTTTGATCGATTCTCGAAGGAACTCATGAAAAACCTACTCCTCGTGTGGTCCAATCAGTGCGAACAATTGATTTGCAAATATTACTGTGTTATCTATCTATGTGATCACTTTTTTTTACAATGTAAACCAATGACGCGTCGAATTCTGAGCGTCAGACTCGTTGATTCTCAAAAGTTTAGAGTGTAACGATGGATCAAAGCCAGGGAAAAAGTGAAGGTCTTAGTGCGAAACGATAGTTCTTTTTTTTTTTTTAAACGGGGGTGGTTTCCTTCCATTTTGGTCCCAGAATGGAGAGGAGAAGAATGCCAAGGAGAAGAGGCCTTTCCTCCGCGGAAATTCGACAAGGTGAGTAAATATATTTTTATTCAAAAAGCATTGTCAACCCTTCTATAAATTTTTATACTTCTAAGTGTAACGCAAATTAAAATTTCTCATTTTGAAAATTAAGAATTAATAATTGAATAAGAAAAAATCGACACGAAGAATGCAATTTTAAAATTTAAAATTCTTGGAATTATGCATTGAGACCAAGAACAAGATAAAAAAAAAATAATCTGATGATTCGCGAATGTATTCTCCATTTGAACCCACCATTTTCTCTTGTGTATATCATAAGTTCAAATTTTTACAATTTTTTGAGCGAACAAAATTTTATCAATGTTTCTTTGTTGCTGTTAAAAAAAATCGTTATGCGTAATAATGATCCCTTGATATTTTTATTCAAGAAGAAATTCTGAGAATTAACGTTTCAACCCACTTGGAAACCACTTTAAAATGAAAAATTTAGAAATCAAATCAGTGAGAAATCTCGTTAACGTTGCGTGACATTTTGTTTACTAAAATTTCCAAGATAAAAACTACATTAACGAGAATATAATAAATTATATTAAATATTGTAAGACGATAGAATAACAATATTTGCATTACAAAATTATTATAAATATATGTAATCATATCGTACATGTTTAATAGTTGTTGATTAGAGAAAAAAAAAAAAGGAAAAAGAGATAAATATATATTCTTCATAAATATTACGAAAAAGAATAATTTCTCTATTACGATAGATTAAAAAAAAAAAAAAAACTCGGTTCTTCTCTTGATGCGTCGCAGCTTTGAAGCGTAATTTATATTTTCTTAGAACATAGAAATAAACTGCGATTAAATTGCAATCAAAGTATACATTCAGAGATAAGCTGTTTATTATTATTTATTAATATTTCTGGAATAATTAAGAGAAAAAATTTCTAGAATTAATATTTGAGAAATTTAGTAAAAAAAAAAAAAAATTGTTAAATGTTGAACACGTTACAATTTTTGTAAGTAATTTGTAATTAAATCTTTATTCATATACATATAAATTGAATTATATTTATAATATACGTATACGTCTTACCATTATACAATAATTATAGTCATTTATCCGATCGACAAACAGGCATGCGTTGTATTTCGTTTTGTTAAAAAAAAAATCACGAAAAATATATGACAGTTAAAGATGAAACACATATTCATCCAATATGGAAATATACATATAACGATAAACCAGCCAATAAATTTGATATAAATTAAATAATAAATTAAATGCATTAGAAATTCCTCGTATGATTCATGGTTAATCAGTATTTGCTTTAATAAATAAAGGAAAATTAGGAAAAGTAAACAGTAAGAAAAGATTTTTCGAGTAAATGATAATTTTTCTTTGATCTTTCTAATCTTTTTTTTTTTTTATCATCTTTTCTTATCATTTATCGTGCATTGCAATCATTCCTCTGTGAATATTTATAATTTTCTTCTTTAAAGAACAAGAAGAAACAAAAACTTGAAAATAAAGAAATGATAATGTTCGCCATTTTCCTTATCTTTTTCAATTTGGATTATCTCTTTTTGACATTTTATCACCGTAATAATTCTTCTTTATTATTTATTATTAAGTATTTATAATTTTCTAGAAAAATAACCTTTTCATTGCTCTTTATATATTTTTTTTTTGTCATTATATTATTTAAATTATTATTAACGTATAATCTTTTTTACAACACAAAAATTATGTAAAAATAATCAACAGTTATCTTTATAATTATATACTAAATATATATAGATATATTTCAACAGATTCAAAGTTCAATTCATTTATTTCCCGCCAATCTAATATAATCGTATCTTCTAGAGATAAACTCATGTGCTACAGACAAGCACAAAGGCACCAATTTGAATACTACAGATAATTATTACCAAGGAAGAAGAATCTCTTTGGTTAATTTGTTTGTTTCACGTGTTAATTTCACTAAATTCTATCTTGGACAACCTTGAAATTTTGAAACATTAAGCTTGTCATGAAAAATAAAACATTAATAATTACATTAAAACAAATTAAAATTGTGCAATATTTCTATTTATTGTATATACTTCTTTTATTTATTTTTATTTAATAATTCTTATATTTTTAGATTAACTTGATTTAAATATTTAATCGAAAAATTTATTATAATAATAAAAAATTAAAAAGTATTTTATTTTCCATCTTGATTTGAAAACATATGCAGAAATTTCTTTAGAGATAATACTATAAACAAGTTAAAAACTAAAATTCAAAATGTTGAAAAGATAAAGCTATTTTACTCGTATCTATATTAGAATAAATATTAACTGCTCTTAAAATATCGAAAAACCGAGTATAAAAAAATTAACCCTATTTTTCTGACTCTAACTTATCTTTAATATCGACATGTTCGACCTTCTGATAACGCTAACCTAAAAGATGATAACCACGTGCGCAGTATTCAAATTTTTCAATAACATTAAAAAAACTTCTTTAATGATTATACAAAATTTGAAAAATATTTAATTCAATTCACTATAATTCAAAGCCAATTTTTATTAAAATAAACTATTATAAAGTTCAATGATTGTTATATGTGCTGAGAAAAATAAATTATATTAATTATATTATTTTATAGTTTATATTATGAATAAAAATAGTCTTTTTTTATGCAAAATATAGTAAGATATATTTTATTATTATATTATTAATTATTTGAATTAAAATTCATTATCTATTGGATTAAAAACTATTACTTATGAAATTAATTAAATTTTCTTATTTTCAAAATCTCTTATTCTATATTTAAAGTAATTTTAAATATATATAATGATTAAAATTATAAAAAAAAATTTTTAGAACTTTATGCTATTTTCTGTTTCGAAAACAATGGTGGCTGATTTAAAGAGGATTTCAGATAGAAACGAAATACAATATCTATCGTATTATACATAATATAAATTTAGAAGAATACATTATCCAAGCAGATCCATTGTTTGCTTAGTATTATAGCAAACAAGCAATGTAATGATGACACATCAACGAAAAAGAAAGCGGGTTGCTCATCGTTATGTTAATCCCCTGAATGTCGTAATTCTCTTTGCTACCCTATTATATTTTTAAAATTTCGCACGAATATGCAATTTAATAACTTAATAAAATTTTCACTAAAAAAAATTGTAGATACAACAAAAATTTTACGTAAATATTATTAATATTTAAATATTCCAAAACTCATACATTTATGATAATTTGAATAAAATTTATTTATAATAATTCAATCATTCAATACAAATGATTTTGATCAAAACTTTGATTTTGTTCAAAATTATTCAAATTTTTTTTTCTCAATAACAAAATATAAATATATTAATATATAAAGAACAAAAAAAATATGTTTATAATTGTCATTTTAAAAAATGTTTCAAATTTAAATTTATATTATTTATTTGTTTATAATTAATTAATTTTTTAAATATAATGTTTTTATCTCTTTTATTTATTTTAATCTTATATCAAAGAATAATAAAATTAAAAATAAATTCAATTTACTTTCCAATTCAATTTGTTTCTATAATTTAAGAAAATTTGATAAAACTATTCTCCCAACATATCGTGAATAATCTCGTTTTATGATGGACGATTCAGTTGCGAATCGTTTGGGAGGATAAACCACCCGCGCATATAATGCCCCTATTGTAGTCTCTGGTCTAAACTTCGAATTTGCAAATAAACGTAACTCGATGTGTACATCCACGTTGAATGCTTTTCAGTTTCCAAAAATGATGAATAATGAAAATTGCAATAGTAGATTTTTAACAAATCACATTACGTTTTAAATTGAACAATTCTATATTTTAAATTCAAATTAGGATTTCATAACAAAAACAGATTTTATTAATTTTTTATGTGCAATTTCTATAAATACTATTTATAATTATATCACAAAAGAATTATAAAATTTTATTAAAATTTTAAATTGTGAATCTCATGATTGAAATTGAATACAGATCATTCTGAGTATATCAAACATGAAATGTAATTTATCAATTTTTTATATATCAAAAATATATAAATTTATATTTAATTAAATGAAACTTGAAATTAAATTTAGAGAGAAAGAATTGTTAATTGTTTAAGAGAAATGAAACTTGATATAAAAATCGTTGTAAGGGTGATTCTCTTACTTTGCGTCAAAGTACGCTCGATATCATAGGTCACGGTTCACCCATCGACTTCCACGTATACTGTTAATAACAAAGTGCAAAGATTACAAATGATCTAGGTAACAATGTTGAAAAAGATATAAATTTAATTAAATAAAAATATAAGTAATAAAAATATTCGTTCGAAGATTTCGAACTTGGAAATACTAGATTTACAATTAGTATATATACTTCCGCGTGTTTGTTTGATAAACAATCCCATTTCGTGGAATTGCAATTACTGGAATGCTCATTGTCAGTTGCGTTATTTCTAATCTATATTATTCTCATTGTTGAACTTCCATTAAATTTTTCTCTCGAAAATCTTACGATTAATTTTACAAGTATTACTATAATATCATTTTTTTAATTAAATTATATGTTCTTTAACCTTTTCAATAATTACATTAATTAACATTAACATTAATTAACATTATTAAAATTACCTATAATGTATTTCATCTCCAAAAAATTAATGTAAAAAATTCAAAATAAATCTATAAATTTATATAATTGATCAATATGATTTATGTAAAATTTTTAAATAAAGAACTTGGAAAAATTTCATACTGTATGCAAACAAGTTATTTCAAAAAATGTCCCTAGATTTCTTGTATATAGAGACTAGTTGTATAATTATACTGCGCATGAGCAATTCCATCCGTATCGAAGACACGGAGGTCAACTTTCATATAACATCTTTTAGGGTATGAATACATTTGAAAATATTATATTATTCTCTCGAAAATATTTCTATAAATTCACATTAATTGCATCGAAAGTTATTACCTAAGAATAAATTTCATTCTTAATGTGAACAGTATTCACTATCGAAAGATAACTTTCAAGATCAAGTTGAGTTTTACTTTCAATTTTAAGTATCCTTAGGTTTGATTTATTGAGTTTTCTTAAATGAATTGTCATCTTCTCAAGAAAATTAAAACTTAGGAACATTTACTAGAAATCGAGCGATCTCGTGAATACGGGCAATCTTCGTTTAAGATGCATAGTAAGAGAAGAAATACGGGGCGATAATAGGTACACATAGCGAGACTCGTTGTCGGAGAGCGCTGACCGCAGAGATAACGCTTTGACCCGTTACAAGCTTCAAGCACGAAATGAATGCCTTCACTGTCTCATCCAAGTCGGGCCCAATCCAAATATGTAGCCCTTTTTCTTACCAGCTCGCCCTTTATTAACCGTTACCACTGTTATGCCTAAGTTCCTAACCTAAATTCGACTGCTTTTACCTTAAGCCTCTATTTACTTTGAAACGAAATGAGTTCACGGGCTCTTGGGATCCTTTATATCATTTCTCGGAAGATCTATAATTTATTTTAAACGAGATTCATATCAATTTGAAATTAACGTGAAATGATGAAATAGAATTAATGTATACAATATTTTCCAGACTAGGAGAAATCCAGTTGGACTGAATATCTGAATAAAATTGGGACCTATTATTACATCTAAAGCGGTTAGACATTTCTTGATATGGTTGTAACCGAATGTCGTCATTATTCAGATAATATATCATCATTATTACTTCCTTATTACAGACCTACGAGAACCGCAGAACCATAAAACTATACGATTAAGAAGATTAGAAAATTATTGAAACTATTCTGTTCCATTATCAACCACTAAAGATATATATATGTTGGATAATGAAAATAATGAAATTGAATTGTATTTTTGTTATAATATTTCTCTGAAACACCACTGAATATTGTATACAAACAACTCGTGTTTATATTTAACATGAAAAATGCAATTTTTGTTTCATAGAGTATTTGAGCTTAAAATATATCTTTCCCTTTTCAAGTTCTATAGTACATTCCAATCCATGAATATTTCATCCAACAAAATTTTTATTTGTATTTATAAACTCAATAGACATAGTCATTGTAAACTGACATAGTTGCGATAACATATAAATATTGTTTCAGAATTATCAGTAAATGCGTCCACACAACAATCGGAAGTAATAGCGAGGTTACTGCCTATCAACGGGAACCCCGAGATCACAGGATGCAAAGATCGACCTCATATTTGTGGAAAAGAAGCAGCATGTCGTAGCTTTAAAGACAACACATCCAAATGCGTCTGTCCGCACGATCTATCCCCACCAACAACGGATTTGAAATGTCCAAATCGTCTAATAGGTTAGAATCACATATCGATATTTTTTTTATGTCGGACGCTAGAGATAAAACCAGAGCGATCTAGGGATCACCAGATTTTGAACTACATATTTTTTCATTTCATAATGCTTTAGCACATATTATTATTTATTATTTTACAAATTAAATTTAGATACTATATATTATATCTTCCTATAAAATAATCTTATAAAACAAAAATTACTAAGTTTTTATTAAATTATATTTTTGAACAAAAAATTACTATACTAAAAATTACTTGCTTTCTTCTTTATCCGATATTATTTTATATCAATTAATAATATAAATATAATATAAACATAATTAAAGGCATTAAAACATTGAACTTAATTAATTCATATCACAATTAATGTGAAATAAATTTTAATTTCAATTAAAGATAGTAAATAAATAATATTTATAATTAAAATTGATAAATGTTTTATTATTAATCTTAAAAGAAAGAAAACAATCTTTTTACAAATATTTGTTAAATATTATTTTTTTTTTTTTTTAGTTCCCCTAACACCTCGACCTATACCCAACATAATCCCTCCAAATGGTAACTCTACCAACAGTACGACTGCTCTTCCAGAAGCAGAACAGGTAATTATTATCAATTGTTCTTATAAATATCATCTCTTGATTTATAAATATGCATACAATCTTTTACAAACATAGTTTTGTAGTATTTTCATACTGTTCAACAGGCAGAGCGTGTGAGACAAAAGGTACCTGAAATAATAGGAATCACCATAGCATTCGTCGCGGTATTAGCAATATTGTTGAGTATAGTCTACTGCGTGAAGAAAAGAAGTTATAACGTGAAATCACAGAGGAATTCTCTGGATGTATGTCAATCAAATACATAATATTGAAGTGTTTCTTCAAAACTAACGTAACATTAAAAAAAAAGAAAAAAAAAAAATTGTTATTTATAACTCATTTACAAGATAACTTTAGATAAACGGAATAATAACTTTAGTCGATTAATGTAATATTATATTTTTGAATACAATAAATACAATGGTATTGAATACAATAACATTTTTGAGTATATTAATATATTTCCTGGAAAGTCATATTTTTTTTTTCCAGTGCGAAAGTGAAATTGAATTTTATAATTCATCTATATTTTGTTGATAGATGATAATAATTTTTTAATATTTATTTTTTTCTTTTTTTATATTTAGAATATTTCAAATATTTTTGAATTTAAATATATATTAAAACATTTTTAATAATATATAAAAATATAAAAGGAATATCTATTAATTAATATAATATAATTTTATTTTATTAAATACAATCTTTAATAACACATAAATGAATCTATTAAAATTGAATAATTAAAACTGATATTTTTTATTTTATTATTTTTATTATATTAAGAAATTCTAGAAATAGGCAAAAAGTTTATATTTTATTTTTTTATTACAATTTCCTCTGCATATAGTTGTATTTATTGTGAATAACATCAAAATAATTATATGTATAATTCATACATACACATATAGCTTTGAATTAGAAATCTAATAAAATATATAATTTTATTTCATCTTTCAAATCTCTATCTATTATATAAAACTATGTTAATTTTAACTTCTTTCTTATTAAATCTACATATACTGTCAATAATAAAAAAATAATTAAATAATTGAAAAATTGTTATGAAAATAGCTTGCATATGTTCACTTCAGGGAACACCGATGAATCTGAAAAAGGGATTGCTGCTAGCGAATAAGTACACACCTAACCCACAGTATTTCAGTTGCGCCTCGCCGGAAGTGTCGATTCTGCAACGTGAGTCTCTTGCATTTTTGCAAGAAATCGGCGAAGGATGTTTTGGAAAAGTATATAAAGGTATAAACTAAATTAAATAGTTAAAAATTAGTAATTTTTATATAAGTCATCAAATAATTTTCTTTTAGAAGCTTGAAAAATTTATTTAAAAATTTATTTCAAATTATTATAAAAATTCGTAAAAAATTAAATTAATAACAACAATTTAAAAAAATAACAAATAAAAAAAATAAACAATTTAATTAATAGATATATAATATATCCATTATATTCTTCTTATTCAATATTGAATGATCACTTATTCCGTTTAAATCTTTCAAATAATAAAATATTTAAAAATGAAATAATCATTTAAATTAATATAGATCAATAATTTTTAATTGAAAAGGCAAAACATTTAAATAATTGCTCGAAAAATATTATTTAATTAAAAGTAAGCTTTCAGAATGAAATTACTTGTGAAATAAACCAGTATAATAAAAAAATTGAAATAAGATAATTGAAAGAAATAATTCTTTCTTTTTTACAGGAGAATTATGTATTGGAGATTCGAAAGAGATCGTCGCTATAAAAGTTTTAAAAGAGACTGCACCGCGAGAAGCTGAAGAAGATTTTATGCGAGAAGTCGACATCATGTCCACTTTTGGGCATAGAAATATTTTGTCGTTGAAAGGTGCAGTGCTCCGTGAAGGTAATAGTAGTCCATGGATGGTTTTCGAATACATGCCGTATGGAGATCTCGCTGAAGTTTTACGATCGAACTCTCGACAATTTAATAGATCGCCGAAACCTGAGATGCAACCTTTAACTGAGGTAAAAAATTATTTAAATTCTTCTATCTTCTAAAATTGCATGCAAGTATTTCAAACTTTTAAACTAGGAAACTTTTTATTGAAAATATTCAAACTCATATAAACAACATTCGAATAATTTGTCATTTGTTTCCCCTAAAAAGGAATGTATTTGGAAATAAAATTTTTGAAATATATTTTAGACAGATACTGCTAGTATCAGAGAATCACTTTCAACCATTATGAAAAATATTCCGAAGAACAATTTGCAAGAGTTTTAATCTGAAATGGATTTTTTTTTTCCTTTAAAATTTTTGAGAATTGCTTTTAAGAATATTTTTTCAGTAAGAGAGTGACTTTCATTCTGAAAAGAAATTTTTTTAAAAAGATTATGAACGATTGACTGATATTACAATCTTAATTATGTTTCAGGAGTCTTTACATTGGATAACAATCCAAATTGCAGCTGGTATGACATATTTATCGGGTCAAAGATTCGTTCATAGAGATTTGGCATGCAGAAATTGTCTAGTTGGTTATGATTTCATTGTTAAAATAGCAGATTTTGGAATGTCACGAGATGTTTATACTTGCGATTACTATAAGGTAATTTACATAATAAATTAAAATATTTTAATAGAATATTCATATGTATATTATATTGAATTTCTATTATTTATTTTATTTTGCAAAATTGTTTATATATTTCATGATTTAAATTTTGAAATTTAAATTTTAAAATAATAATTTTATCGTAATTTATTTTCACAAATTTTTTTATACAGAATAAATAAAACAAGATCTTCATTGTTTTCAGATAAAAGGTTCTAGACTTTTACCAATCCGTTGGATGTCACCGGAAAGTGTAATGTATGGACGATTCACATTGGAAAGTGACGTATGGAGTTTTGGCGTTGTTCTATGGGAAGTCTATTCCTTTGGCAAACAACCATATTACGGACATAATAATGAAGAAGTAAGTAAAATTATATGTAATCAATTTTTAGAGAAATTTGTTATTTTAAATTAATCAAAATTACACATTTTTATTATAGTTTTGCATTTAAAATGAATATTAACATTGCTATGCTAATACTATATATCCATATAATATATATTCATACAATATATTATTAGAATAATAATAATCTCCAATTATTATTGCAAGATTAATAATATAATCTACAATCAAAATCTAGGTTTATAATAATATATATATTAGTTCATCATAAATATCATCATGTCGCGCTTTTATACTATTTTACTACTTACGTAAATTACACATCACAGTTTTGCAACATCAGTTTTGCAACAGAAATAAATACTTATTTATAGTTATCATCTTTTTCTCTGTATGTTACAATTTTAAATATTTTAGTGATAAAGAAATGAAAAAATAAATGGTACTTTACTGAAAATTATTTACTGAAAGTTATTGCACAGATCAGCTTCATAACAGGAATAGACATTTCTTTATAATTATCATCTTTTTCTTTATGTGTTACAATGATCTTAAGTATTTTATATTGATAAAGAAATGAAAAGATAAATGGTTTATTAAATTATTGTGATACCTTCAGGTAGTGAAGCTAATTTTTCAAGGCATAATGCTTATACCTCCAGAAGGATGTCCACCATTTGTCTGCCAAATAATGCGAGAATGTTGGAAAACTGATCCTAAGGATAGAATTAAATTTCCGGAGATATTAGAAAGATTGGAGAAAGTTAAAGTTAAGTCAATTCAAGATACGTTACCAAGGCCACCTCAAGGTCCAGTCACTATTCGTACACCAGACGTATTAGATCCTGATGGCTATTTATTACCAGCACCGGCAAAACCCCACGAATACTTGCAAACTTTACCATCTTTGTCCGATTGATATTGATAAAAATCATATATGTTAACAGAAGTTCATAAAATAATTAAAATTTCTAAATTGGGAAAAAAAAATAGGATCAAATAAATCGATAAAATTCGTTGCAATTTTCTTAAAAATTATTTTCGTAATTAAAGATGGATATATTTTTAAGATAAAAAAATTATTGAAAAATACAAAATAATTTTTTTTTAATCGATATAATATTAATAAATTCACAAAAAAAAGAATGAAGGAATATAAAATGGAGGAGGATAAAATATTGCAACGATATGAAACGATATATTGCAAAAATTTGGAAATTTTCAAAAAGATAATTTCTTATGTTATTTTTACACATACATATATATATATATACATACATGTATATATTATTATACTTCGTCTTTTTTGATTTTTGTCTTTTATAGCGTCCGGATTGAAAGACTGATATGAATCGATTTTGATAATATTTCTGTATAAATATTTTGACATAAGAAATTTAAAGATAGTCTTGTTTTAATTAATTTAAATTAATTATATCGTTATTATTGATATTAAATAAGAAAATTGATATTAAAAGAAAAACATACAATGAAATTCAAACATTCATACAAAAAAAAAAATAAATATGAATTAAAAAAAAATAATAAATTATAAACTGTTTATTGTAATCAAAATTGTAAATTCTATATATATATATATATATATTCATTTTGTTAAAAAATTGTTAAAGATGAAAATGATAAGAACACGAAGAAAATTATCAGAGATATATGATATTATGAAATATTTTTTATCTTTTATGAAAAAATAAATTTTTTTTATATATAAATTGTAACAATATCTTAAAAACTTTTGAAACGAAAAAAAATATATATTTGTTCGATTATAATGATTATAATGTTCGATAAAAATTATTAATAAGTAATTATTAATATAATTCATTCAATTGTTTAACAACCGATTATTATTTATCATTATACAGTAGATAATAAATAATAATTGATTGTAATTAATTTTTTTTTGATAATTTTTATCTGTAATAATATTTAATAAAATGAATAATATATCAATATTTTCAATAGATATAATTTAGAATAAACTTTAATCGGTTATAATTATTGATTTGTAAAAATGTAATCAATAGATATATCAATACAATTATTGTAATCGATTATTGAAATACAATAATATCAGGGAAATTATGAGAGTTCGATGTATCGAACTTTCATTGTCCAGGAAATAGTATTAATATTCTATAATATTAAGAAAATGTGAAATAATACTTTTAATAATTTATTATTAATTATGATTATAATAATTATTCATGCATTCGTATACTATGATTTTTTTTATAACCTCACTTTTTTTCAAAATGATAGTTTGATAGTTTTGCATTGCGATAGTTTTGTATAAAATATTGGAATTGTATAAATTGATGCATAAGAGACATTTTAAATACATTGTTGTTTTTTAGTGTACGAATCATTGTATTAAATCATAATGTTTTTATTAAATCTTATAATATGCATTTCTTAAATTTTATGTTCTATTTTATTTATTATACGAAACAGAAAAGATAAAATATATAAGTAATAAAATTTATAGAGAAAAAAATAAAAACTTCAGTATTAAAACATTTAATCTTACGATTTAATATGTACTGGTATGTGTTGTTTTTTAGCAATATATACGTCATGATTTATATTTCAAACATTAAAATTTTTTCTTATATAAACTCAGCACTATAAAAAAATATGTAAAAAATGATAGGAATATCGTAGATCAATTATATTATATACATATATATATATATATATATATAATGTATACATTATATATGTATAATGTATATACATTATACATATATAAAATACACATAAGATTCAATACAACAGCTTTCATATCCAAAAAATAATAAACATTTTAAGCTCGCGCCAAAAGGTTAAAATAATTCGATATTCTATCAATTCCGAAAGAAGAAATATTGTTGCCGTGATACGATAGTTTTTTGTTTGCAAAAGATACGCGATTAGATTCGAGAAAACAAGACTCTTATATTTAGTTTTGTTCTGTGTTCTATCAATATAACTAGAAACGTAACTTCGAAATCGAGCATGTACGACGATTGCATATTTCTTTCGTTGCGATTTCCGCAAAAACTGTGGCGTATAGTGAACGAATGTAAGAGTGGCGCGATACGTTGGAGTTTAAACGGTAACACAATTCTTCTCGATTACAAGAAATTTCAAGAACAGTATCTCGACGCGGGCAATTCTATCTTCAAAACGAAAAATATTACAAGTTTTATCAGACAATTAAATCTTTATGGTTTCCGGAAAGTAACATCCCATAATAGAGATCCGATTTGTAATTCTCATAATCCGGACGTTCACGAATTCTTGCACGAAAACTTCCGTACCGGCAGACCAGATCTGTTACCAAGGGTGTACAGGAAAACAGCGGGAAAATTGAAACACTGTCAACGACTTAAAGTGAAAAATAGCGCGGAATTGAATTTTTTAAGCAAGGACTCCGATCACGTATCGCGTTTGCATATGTGCCGGGTAAATAAATTATTTAATTTTTCTTTATATATTATACATTGTATTACAAAACTTTCATATAATATTCTAGTTACATTTTAAGTTACATTTCTTAAAAATACGAATTATATAAAATTATTATATGAGACTATAGATTACTATAAGAACAAGAAATGAAAACTAAATTTAAAGAAGATAATATTTACTAAATTAATTTTATTTTAAACATATTTGTTAGAATTATTATATATATTTATATATTAAATTTATTATGTTCATATATTTATTAAAAGAAATATGTATATCATCAAACAAAATTTAATTATTAATAACCTAACAAATTGCATTTAATAAAAATATATATCTTAGACATTCGATTTAAAAAAAAATTATTATTAATATAATTAATAATTTTCAATAATTTTTCATTCATGCTATTTCATTTCATGCTATTATATAAATTCTATGTTTTAATATATAAAACTAAAAAGATCATTATTATCAAAAAAATATATGTATATTTTATATATATATATAAAATTTAAAATATTAAATAACAAAAAAAATAATTTAAATATTGATATTATAAATAATCAATTTTATGTATTAATTATATTAATTATATTTAAAAATTTTGAAAGCATACAAGATTAAATGATTTTTAAAAATATTATTTGTAGTATTTTTAAATATGTATATTGTATGAGTATAAAATATTACAAATATTTAAAATCAGCTTATTTCTAATCGATATTATTTTAATTATTAAAATTTCAAAAAAATTTGTAACTATAATTGTTTTAAATTATATTTTAATTATTCCATTATTGTTTTTAGTTGGCGTTAACGAAAGCCTTAGAACAAATATCGCGAGAATATCAACAAACACAAAATCATAGAATAAAAGATGAAAATACTTTAAATTCTTCTGAAAAAGGTATAATTTAATATTTAATATCAATATTTTTAATATTATAAAAATCATATTGATTAATAAAATAAAAAATTAAATTTTATTATTAAATTTTTTTAGAATTCTAATATTAAAATAAAAATAAATAAAAATTATAGAATTTCATTTCTTTATATGCTCCATTCTTTTTATATAAAATTATATTAAAAATTAATTTTAAATGTAATAATTTCAGTATTTAATCTTGGCTTATATACATCACAAAATCATGAATCATCCACCATAGACTGGATTACAAAAAATTCGATCCCAATTTCTTCAAAAAAGGAAAACTTAAATGATACACAATTAACTTCTAATGTTTATGTAAAGTGGACAAATTTTTCTAAAAATATTAATTAAATTATTTGTAAAACTATATTTATTATTTTGAATTTTCAGTATTATTGCAAGTGTTTTAAAACACTTAATAATATCATAATATCTATTTAAAAAAAATAATTATGTAAAATAGTAATTTCTATTAAATGTAAAATATAAAGTTCAAAATATAATGTATTTATATTAAATGTACAATTTGTTTATCAATAATAAAATTTATTTTTTAATATATATAATTAATAAATAATAAAATTATATTATGTATTATTACTTGTGGATTGATTAACTATATGTTTATTTTGTTGTATTTTGTGTCTGTTTAAAAAATTTTTGAAGGATTCAGCTTCTTTTCTTTCTTCTTCATCATCTTCTTCATCTTTAAATGGATTTTCTGTACCTTCTTCATCTTCACTTGATTCATTACCAGCATGTTTTAAATATATATCTGAAATTTCTCTTCCACTATTGATTGTTGTTATTAATGATATACTTTCTCCTGAAACTTCTTGACTTGCTTTTTCAAGTTGTTCTTTTTCTGTTTTTTGTCGTTGTGCGTCTCGTTTAATCTTCATTTTTTCCCAAATTTTTTTATATTCTCTTCAATAGAAAATTCGTTTTTTTATATTTCATACTATTTTATACAAATATTTAATATTATTCATATATTTAATTTACCTTTCATATTCTTCTTCAGCATCTTTAATAAGTTCAAGAAACTTAGTAATACCAGCTCCTGTTGCAGCAGAAACTCCACAACTACGTAAGTGACTATAGAATTCATCAAGTGCAAGAGCCATACTACGTGTTAAGTTACTAATATAACTTGTTTCTGAATCTAGAGCTTCTTGGAATGCTTCAAAATCCTGCATCCAGTCTACTGCATAACTATGTTCAACTATATCAATCTTAAATTTATAATTATAATTATATTGTTAGATTAATTGCTAGATTAACTACTTATATACTTTAATAAAATTGTTTCTTATTCAAAAAAAAATCCTTATAAAAATATATATTATTATATATCATATATGATATTATTTTTAAAAAAATTTCATATTTTTATAATATCATAATAATTACCTTATTCATAGCCACAATAAATGGTAATTTAGTCTTATAAAGTATAGAACATGCATAAAGCATGTTAGACATGAATGTTACAGGATTAACACTTCTTACAGTATCTAATATATATACTATAATTGTTGGAAATTGAGATGCTAAAGCTTCTGTTATAATTGTTCCACTTGCTGACCATGTAAAAACTTCTATTTGTCCAGGTGTATCCAAAATTACATATTCATGCTCTTTACCTGCTTTATCAATAAGTTCTATGACTTGATCAAATTTTGTAGAAAAAAGATTTAATGCAGTAACAATACCACCATTAGGTCCTAAACTATATTGTTTCATTACTTCCTTGTAATTCACAGTATCTCTTATATCTAAAACATTAGAAATGTAATAAAACATTTATAATTAAAATATTATATAATAATTATTATTATATAATAATTAAAATAAATAAAAATATAATATATCACCTATGTTTGCTGGATAAGGAACTTCTTTACATGCAGGATCCAAATTTATTACATATGGTTTTCTTAATTTGTATAATACCGAAACAAATCTTTGTACAAATGTAGTTTTGCCAGATCCAGCCATTCCAAGAATAATAATACATGTCGGTTTTTTTTCTTTAGTATTTGATTGGGCAGATACATCAGTTTGCATAAAAGTATTGTATTTAGAAGATTCCATAGATTCAGAAGTATCCATAGATTCAGATATTTTAAATTCTAATAATGAAATGATTATAAAATATATGATTATATAATATAAAAAAATTTAGAATTAAATTTTTAATATTTTATAATATATTATAATATATAATATTCTATTTTTTTTTTCTTTATATAGAAAGATTTATTTTTTGCAGAGAGAGAAATTTTTATTAAAAAAACGAAATAAAAAATATTATAAAACAATATGTTATAAAAATTATTAAATCTTATTCTTATAAATTAAATTATCTTATTCTTATAAATAATTATATTTATATCATCATTATATTTTTATTTTATAGTTATATATATTTAATATTAATACATCAATTTCTAACCTCATTTTTAACTTCATTATTAAAGATTAAATGTATAAATTTTATGAAATATAATCAATTAAATAATCAAAAATTATATAATTAATCTCAAGAAAAAAAATAATCAAGGACTATCAAATTAATTTACAATTATAATGTAATTTTAATATTCTATATTTGATAAATATAAACAGCATCTAATATTTTAAAAATTTCAAAATATAACTTACATATATATTAATTTTTTATAAATATTTTTATAAATTATAAGTACAATATAAACTTTTTACAATAAATACTTTTATCGTAATACAATATAAACACTTTATCAATCATATAATTGATAGATATTAAAGAACCACCTAGCGATAAATAAATGAAATACAAGTTAGATAGTGCATTTATATATAAATAAATGGAAAAATTTAAAAATCCAAATTTTTTAGTAAATTTTTTATTTCTGAAAATTTAAATGTTTTAAATTTTTAAAGAAATTATCTAAAATTTTGTTTATCTTTTTTTTATTTATAATTTTTTAACTATAAGCTGTCAAAGGATTATCTGAATAAAATAAATTTCAAATTATTTCTTAAAGTTAAATTTATTTCTTATCCTTTAATATGAGTGTTTAAAAGTTAAATATTGAGAAATTTAAACTTGAATTATCGAAAATAAATCATATATAAAAAATATTGCAACTTTAATTACTAGCTACTAAAATTTCTGATACTAATTATAATCTTATATACTATTATAATTATAATTATAAGATTTCAATTTATATCAATTTATATCAATATATAAAATACGTCGGTTGATTTTTGCTATACCAATTATTTTTATAACAATGAATTATGAATAAAATGAAATTGTAAAAAATAATTTTTGTATTTTGTATTTTGAAATATAATATTTTATTGATTATTTATAATATTTATAATAATATTTATAATAATATTTACAAAATATAAAACATAAAATATTTACATTTCTTATGTAAAAAACAGAAACTTAACATAATAATTATGTAGAACATATTAATTTAATAAATTTAATAAAATTAATTTTAATTTAAAAAATAAAATAAAAATTTTATTTTTTTTTTAAATAATTTTTTTTAATAATATATAATAATTAAGTTGTTTTGAAATGATTATCTGTAAATGTACTATAAATATGTCCTTCATTTATAAGAAAATCAATTATATTATCTACATCTATATTCTCTGGCACACAAGTTTTGATAACATTTCTTTCTATTCCATTTTCACTATTATTTTTTGCTTGAATAATGTTAAAAATTATGCTTTGTTCTTTAGTTAATCCAATAAAGTTATCATCTATCATAAAAGCATTATCTGTATTAGATTTTTTATTTTGTTTATTTAACATTTTCTGAGATTTTAATATTACATAAGTCACTTCTAATAAATGATTAGTTAATTCATTTAAATGAATCAAAGGCCAAATCCTTAAAATTAATATATACTTCTTTTCATTTTGTTCCCTTAAATGTCCATATATTCGTACATAAGTATTTAAATTAATTAATGGCTCTGATATTTTTCCTGTTTCTAACCATTTGAAACTTTTGATGTGATCTATAAATTAATATATTTATTACTTTTATTTTTTCATATATATATATATATATATATATATATATTCGTATACATATATCTTATAAAAAATTATAAAAGTATGTAATCTTATTATTATGAAATCATTAATTAGAAGTAATATAAATAAATTATATATAATGATATAATAATAATATTACATATCATATAATATATTAATAATAAATAAAAATTAATTATGTACAATATAAATATTATAATTAATAAATAATAAACAATTATATTAACATTAATAATCTATTTGAGAAATAATAATTTACTTTGCAATTTAATAATGCAAATTTTAATTAAATATAATATGATAAAATATGTTTTGAATATAAAATTTGAAAAAAATTACGAACAATTAAACTAAATTTCTATCCATATAGATAATAATTTAATATCTATATGAGAAATAAAAATTATATCAAAATATTATTTTTTTATACCTGTATCATCTTCTATTTCATATGTTATTTTAGTATTATTTCGTTCTATATAATTCACAATACCAACAAAAGTAAATACATGATTTTGTGATTCATTGTTAAATGATTTTATTTGTTGAATCATAACCGGAATTATTTTAACAATTCTTCTTGCAATTTTTTTACTTCCATTATTTAAATCACGATCATCATTCAAAAATCCATTAGCCGCAATATTAACGTTGGCCCACATTATTATTTATAATTAATCGAGTGTAAATTATAATGAATAAAATTTAATAATAAAAATCTCAATCAATATATTTAAATTTTATTTTATTAGAAATTCTAATAATAATATTTACTATTTGTTCATATAATAAATATTAATTTTATTCGTGTAAATTTATAACGTATTTCTAATGCGTAATAAAAAAAACAAGTGAATACTCTATGTACATATAATATGCATTTGCTGTCACGATGGCACAGAAGTAAGAATAGTTTTTTTTTTTTTAACAAAAGATTCTCCTTCCTTTATTTTTCTCATATATAATATCTTATCTATGCCATTTACATTACATCTATCGCTTATTAAACAATAACCATGCTGGAATTATTGATTTTTTCATTCGATTTTTTCCACAATATCTATTTTTAATTTTTTAATTAATTAATAAAACCTCATGTATCTAAAAGGAGAATAGATACAAAAAAGAGCAAATAATGGAAGAAATATAGAAACAGAATAAAATTATAATAATATTATTGTTAATATAAATTTAATATGTTTCAGTTCAATTATTCCATTTGGAAATGAATATAATTGAGTGTCAATTCTCTTTATCTTAATAAAATCATCGATATTCCTATGAAAGAAATTAAGAAAGTTCTGATGAAAAATACAGGTACTCACTCTAAAAATCAAATTTTAAAAAAAAACATATGATGATTAAAGCTTTAATGAAACTTTAAAAATTCATTGAGAGAAAAGATGAAGAAAAAAGATGTTTTAAAAAATATAAAGATGTTTTAATAGATATATTAACAATAATAGAGAATCCACATATAATCATGATAAATAAATAAATTAATAGTATATAATATTATAATATATAATACTAATTGTATATAATATATTTAATAATACATTGTGTACATTTTATTATTCAGTACAATAACAATTCTCTTGTATCTACAATCATATGTAACTGATTCATTATTTAAAAGATTTTATCTTCATTTAATGTTCCAATTTTTAGACACACTGTATAATCAAAAAAATATAGCTATATCTTGAAAATAGGAATATACAATCTTGACTATTCGGAATTTTTCGTTCTATTTCGAACTCGCACTTTTTTGAAACTCTTTTTGTTATATAATACGTATATGTGTACATATACATGCCTATATTTAATATAAATGATTAATTTTTACTCTATAAACATTTTCAGAATGTTTCAAAAATATAACTCATATAAAAAGTTAATACAACAAAACTATTCTGTTCATATTCCACTATTCAGTATTGTATCCAATGTTCTAAATATTTAAGAATCGTATCTAATATTTTAAGTATCTAATATTTAAAGGATTAAAAAATGCTTATGAATTACAAAAATTTATTTACAAAATCTGTTTTTCTATAAAATTAAATGTGTTAAAATATTGGAGAACAACAGATTTATTATATAAATTATATTCAGACTTTTAATAAAATCTAGCAAACTGAACATTTGATCTTATGTAAAATATTAGGTTTAAGATATTAAGTTATTAAAATATTAAGTTTGCTAGATTTAAATATTATTAAAAATATAAAGATATATTATGATAATAAAATTCATCATATATTGATACAAAATTTATTACTAATAAATGAATAATCTTTATGATTATGATAAATATGAATTAATAATTATTGATATAATTATTAATATTTATTTTTTCAATATTTTTGCAATAATATTTTTAGAAAGTATATATTTTACTTTCAAATAACAAAATAGAATCATTAAAAAAAAGCAAAAGTTATATGAAAACTGCTCAAAATATTGAGCACTTTCTCTATTTTTAATTTGAAACTTAGTTTGAAATTATTTATTTGTTAAAATAGATATACCAGCATTGAATTTGAAACTTTAAATGAATTATTAATGCATACAATAATTATATCAACTCATATTTATAATAATCATAAACAAATAATATGCCTATACTAAAAAAGATTAATCATTTCGATTCCTAAGTGGTGTTATTGGTTTATGTGGAGAAGAAAGAGGGGTTATATAAGTACTCTGTGAAAGTCCTAACATATTCTCTTTTCCCTTACTATAAGCACGTTTTTCTTCTGCTTGTAATTTTTCTATTGTTTTTTGTTGTTGTTTTATCGTCCTCATCTTCGCGTATAAATCCTAAAAAATATATTATATATTATCATGTCTATAATCAAAATTATAATAACTCTTAATAAAAATTTAAAACTGAAAAAAACAAATTAATTGGAATGAATAATAATGAAAATAAAATCGAATTACTATCATAGAAATATAAACATTTATTTTTATACATATTTACTATTCTAATAAAATATATATTCACATGGACGAATAATTTAAATACATTGTCCAGAAAATAACTAACAATAAATTATTAGTTTAAATCATGCAAAAAATTAAATATTTTCATGCAAAATAAAAAAAAGTAAATAATTTATGATACTTTATACATTATAACAATAAATAAATATTTATTAATAATAATATATTAATTTATTAATAATAATAAATATATATAAATAAAATAAAAAAATATAATTAGTGAATTGAAAAACATGCAATACATATATATATAAACATATATATATATAATAAATATATATATAAACAGAAAAATATTTTCATTAAATAATATGATCACAAAGGATGAATATTAATAACATCTTAAAGACATTGTTAAACTATACCACATCCAATATAAAATTATTGCGAATCCAAAATAGAAAATTAAACGCACCTGTTCGAGTTGATTGATTTTATCTTTCAACTGAGACACATGTTTAATTCTTTGCTTATGATTCTGATGACCAACAATTTCAGCATATTTTTCATGAATTTCTTTATAATCTTTTAAAAGTTGTTCATTATATTTAGAAAGTTTCTTCACTTCCCTAGATAAAATTAAATAGATAAAATATATTTATTATGTAATTACTTTATTTTAAAATAGATAGAAATAATAAAAAATATAATAATAATAATAAGAAAAAAACTCACTCTTCAACTGTTTCCCGATAGACTTTTTCTTCTTCAAGTTGTTCTAAAAGTACTTTCTCAAAATTTTTCCATTTATTTCGTTCCTCTTCAAGTAATTCAACATTTTCCTATATGCACACAATATTCTTATCAGTACATTAATTATATTATATATTTATATAATACATTATATATCATTACTATATACATTATTTACAATCTATATATTATAAAATATAATTATATAAAATACAATATATAAAAGCTCTCATATTATTTTTTTATATAATTAAAATATAAAAAACAATATAAATTATCAAGTACCCGTGTATAAGTATTGTTTTCTTCAAGACATTTAATTTTATCAGAAAGTTCTTGCATTTTAGAATTTGCCTATTAAATAAAGATAATTAAATTAATATCTTATTAATCATAAAGAAAATATTAATATAATAATCTTTATGGCATACTTCATTTAAAGTAATTTCATGTTTCTTTGATTGTTCTTCTAACAATTTGTTCATATCTTCTATTACTGTTTCACGTTCTTTCAATTGTTCATTAAGTTTATTGTTAAGCATTTGTGTTTGAGAAGTTTCAAGTTCTTGTGCATCATTTCTTTCTTCCAATTTAAGCAGCATATCTTGTGCTTCGGTTAGATAATTAGACATTTCATGAAGTTGTTTTTTCATCTAATATTTCAAAATAAACAATTTATTTTTTTAAAAACAATTATTTATATTATATTTAAATATTTAATATTTATAAATAATATTTTAATATTTTAAACAAAATATTAAATTAAATTAAAAATACAAAAGAAAAAGTACCTCAACATTTTGAGCAGTTATTTCATTATTTTCTGCTTGTAATGCTGCTACTTCTCTAGTTGCTATTTTCCTTAGATCATCAATTTTAGCTTCAAGTATAGATCTTAATGATTCTACTTCACTTAAACTTTCAGCTTCAAGTTGATCAACTAATCCTTTTTTAGCATCTAATTGTTCCATTAATACATGTACTTGTTCATGTACCATTTGAGAATTATTACGCATGATACTCAATAAATCACGATGCTCATTGATACAATCTTTGTCAAGTTTTAATTCATGTTGGAGTCTTTCCACTTCAGCAGTGCTTTGGGCTAAACGTGTAGTTAAGGCAGCAACTGATGCTTGATTTTCAGCCATTATAACTTCGAATCTAAATATGTTTATATATATATATGTTTATATATATATATATATATATATATATATATATATATTATTTATATTTATTTTTAAAAAAATAAAATACCTCTTTTTCCTAGCTACCATTTCTGCAGCTTCGTTTCGAATTTGATCTTTTAAAGCTCTTAATTCTTCTTTTTTCTCTGCTAATTCTGTTTCTGCTCGATCTAATTCCATTTGTAAACTTTGACCAAAACTTTCCTAAGTTTATAGAATAATATTTTTAATTGAATTTGTATATTAATGAAAAATAAAATTATATTTAAAAAAAGTTATTTTTATTTTAGATTATGTCATAGAATTTACTTGTGTTTCTGCAGAACTTCTTAATTCTTCAAGAGTTACAGAAAGTCTGGTAATTTCTGCATCTTTCTGTGCTAATTTTTCGTCTAATGCCGCTCGTTCCATTTCTACTCGCGCTAAACATGTTTTATATCTTTCTGCAGTAAGTCGCATTTCCTCTTCTACAGTAATTTTGGCCTCTCTGATCATAGCATTTATCTATATTAATAAATTCATATTAAAAAATTATACATAAATGCTCTTACAAAAGAGCATAAAATATTTGGCAAACATCACAGAAACTGGAAAATAAAAAAATTTGAAAGTATTTCAGAAAAGAAATAATATCCATAATAAAAATTCTTTTATATAAACTTTTTTTTTTCTTTTTTGATGTAACAAAAAGAATTTTTATTGAAAGATTAGAAAAAAGCACTCAGTCAGTGATGTTTTTCATTTTACGCACGTGTGAGCCGCTTACTTTCGCGTCACTCTCAGCAATTACTCTTTTTACTCTTTCTTCACATTCAGTACGACAAGCTGCTAATGTTTCTCTAGTAACCACCTCCGCGTTTTCTATCATTTTGTCAGCATGTTGTTTGATTCGTTTCGTTTCTTCTTCAATTTTTTTGTCAGCTGCTTCTTTTACATCTACTATTTCTTTATCTCTTGTTACCATCAACTATATAAAAAATTAATTTTTTATAAAATAATTATATAAAAATATATAAAAAAATAAAATATATAAAAGTATAAACCAATTTACATTTTCTATTTCTTTTAAATAATCTAATCTTGCATCCTCTAATTGCTTTTTTAATTGAAATTTTTCTTCATCATGAAGTTTCATTATGTCAGCTAAATCTTCCTTGTGTTTTTTTAAAATGAGATTATGTTTTCTATCCGAATCTTCTAATTCTTGATGCGCTTCGCGTAAACGATTATTGACCTATAATAAATAAAATAGATAACTATTTCTTTCATTTAAGTACTTAAAATTTTTAATACTTACATCTTTATAAAGTTTTTGTACATTTTCCAATTCTTCTTTGAGAAAATTATTTTCTTCATTAAGATTTTTTATTTTGATTTCAGATTCCTCTTTATTTACAAGAAATATTTTTTCTTTTTCAAACTCAATTTTCAATTTATCAATTTCTTTTTCGTGTTTATATTTCAGATCGTTTATTTCTTTTGAAGAATTTTCAACAATCTTTTCATATTCAGCCTTCAATTCATCTAATTCACATTGCAGAGTAGATAATTGTCCTTGAAGTTCAAGAATTACGTTTTGTCGTTTTTGTAATTTTAACTCTAATTTATCGCGTTCGTCTGTTAAATTATTAATACACGAATTAAGTTGAGACTTTTCTTGTTCCAATAAGTTAATTTCATCTACATGATTTATTGTTGTTTTTTCTAATTGTATTGTCAATTCTTCGATTTGTACTTTAAGAAATTGGATCTATAAAAAAAAAATTAGGAAAAGTAATATGAAATTAGAATATTTTCAGATACAATTAATATACAATTAAATTTAATATGTACTTACTGTTTCTACATCTGTGTTTTTTTTATCAAGAAATTCAGATTCTAAAGCGACTATTCTTTTTGAGAAATCTGTGATACGATTTCTAAGATCACCTTCCATAGCTTTTCTTGTTTCAATTTCGCGTTCTTTTTCTTCCGAAACTTCCAACAGTTGAGAACGAAGATTCTTCACTTCAGTTTGATGCTTTTCGTCGTAACCATTTAAAATTTCTTGTTGTAATTTAGCCTATGTATAAAAATTATAAATAAAATTTTTTATTAAAATATTATAATTCACAACGGAAAGTATTTTACAACCATTGATTCTATGTCCTTCCTATGTTGTGTCTCTACTTCCGTTTGCTTTTTACGCAATTCTTCGAGTTGTAATTCCAATTTTTGCACTTCTTCCTTCATATCTTCAATATGATGTTCCAATTCCTGTATTGTTTTGTCTTTATTGGAACATTCTACTTGAAGATCAGCAAGATGATTCTCTGATTGATACTTTAATTTTTGATCATTAGTAGAAATAAGCGTACGTTTAATTTTAGAAGTTGATCTCGTTTGATAATCTCTATTTTGTTTTCGTGGTAATTGTGGCTAAAAACAATTTATGGTTGAAATTAAAATATTTCATTAATAAAATATATCAATTTTTAAATACTTCATTAATCCAACAAAATGTGATTATAAATAATCTTAAGTAATATATAAAAATTGAATAAAATAAATTATAATATAATAGACTTATTTAAATGTATTATATAATATATATGTATATATATGTACATTTATCAATCGCAAATTTCTTACCGTTTTAAAATTATTTGCTGCAATGCATGTGTGTTTAGTACATACTGATAAATTACCCTCAGCGCTACCAACACTTTTATTATCATTAAATCTCTCTGATTTTTCAATAACAGATCCTTTTACCTTACTATCAAACTTTGGATCATATGCTCCAGGTGGAGGTACATCATCTACAAAATGAATGATTTTTTAAGATCGAAAAAAAATATATATATTTCTAAAAATTTTAAATTGAATAATTTTCTAAAAAATTCATACGAATATAACGAAATAAAATTTTAAAATCGTTACAAAATTTAAAAAATATTATCTGTGGATTTTTTACATGAGTTTATTTACATGATTTTGATTAATTATGATTTAATTAATGATTTTTATTAATTATTATACGAAATATATTATCAAAATTCGTAATTAATTAATTAAGAAGTTATAATTATTGAAATAATTATTTATATGAGCATTTACAAAAATTTCTATTTTTTTTGATTATTTATATATAATTTTATTTATTATATATATAAATATATATAATAAGAAAGTGAAAAGAGTAATAAAATATGCAGAAACGATAAAAAAATTTCCTGTTTCGGCGAGTGTTAGTTTATAGGATGTAAGCGTAAATGAGAGACAGCTGTTTCTAAATAAAAAGAACGTGTCTATGAAGGGTCATCGAATTTACTAGTATTATATCTTGTGTTCAAACCATCCCTTCTTTCATAAATCCGTAACGCAAACGACCCTGTGTCATGCAGCTTTTTATTCTCCCTCTTATACTTGCATGCAACATTTAAAAATTAAATAGCTTTTAACATTTTTTTCTTTTATTTCATTTTACGTTATTTTATTTTAATATAATTTTATTTTATCAGAAATTTATTGTAATTATATGTAATTGATTTTCTTTGTAATTGAATTTTGATTTATTACTTTTCTGATTATAAATAAATCAGAGAACAGAATAGAATTTCATTTCCTTCTTGTTTTATTAGATGAAAAGAACTAAAATGCTATTCAACAAATAACATATCAATAAAATCAAAATTCGTCATATAATTTAAATTATTATTTAAAGAATTTAGTTATTTTAATATATTTTAATAAATAAAAAATAAAATGCTAAAATATATAGCTATATAAAATATATAATAAACGATGAATTTATTATCATTATTATTATTATGAACTTATTATTTTATTATATTTTTATATTAATCTTATAACTGTTACAAAACAGTTTAGATTACCACATATTTAAAAAATACAAAGTAAATAATAAATTTAATTTTATTTAATTTTACTTATTAAAATAAATGTTAAAATAAATTTATATTAATTAATTAATTATTTTTTTATTAATTCGTAAGCAAAGATTAGTAAAAACAGGATGTTTCAAAATTTAAAAAAATTTTAAAATCAAAGTTCATTAAATTGATAAAAAATCTTAATATGTAATCTAATAATTAAATATAAGTTCAAATATTAGTAGTTTCGAAATTATAAAACATTTTCATTATATTTTATTTATATCATAAATTCAATATGACCGTTTATTTCACAGTTCGACATGTATTCATAGAAAAATATATATATATATATATTAAAAGATTCAATATTTCTCTTATTTTTCAACAATAATTTTTAATTCTTAATTCATTTAATTAATTTATTTAAACATCATCTAAACATAATTTTTAAATGTTTATGTTTTTACTATAATTAGCGAATTTAAATTTGATAAAAGTTAAGAGATTTAATTTTGAAATTGATAATTGATTTCGAATTATATTTTTATATTTTATTATTATTAAATAAAAAGTAATTTATTATTTACAATTATTTATAAAATAAAAAGTTAATTATTCAATAAAAAATTGTTATTAAATAATAATGCAGATAAAATTATACATTAAAAAATAATATAATAAAAAAAATTATATATTTAATAAATACATATGCATACGAAATAAATCAATTTTTTTTGTAAATAAATTTAACTTTTTATAATAATATATCTTTTTAATTATCATAATTATAAAACAATAAAGAATAATAAAAACAATATATATTTATAATTATTTTATATATAGTTATAATTATAAAGAACTTATAATCTATATTCGATATGAAATATTCATATTTTTTAAAAAATTATTGTATTGTATAATCTACTTCCCGCCAAATATTCTGTATAAAAATTATTGGAACTTTAATAATTTCATAATAATTTTAAAGTCAAACAAATTATAAAAATAATATTATTATAATATTATTATAATTTATAATTAGTATAACAATAGTATTTAAAGTATACTATGCATATCAAACACACACCAAAAAAAGCAATGAATATGTATATTTACTTACTTTCAAATTCATTAAATCTTTGGATTCTAGCTTTCGAAAATGACATTATCAAATGTTTTTCACGTATTTAAACAACAATAAATAAGAAAAAATACACAAACAAAATAACTTTAATAGTTAACGCTTTTAACGGATTTTAATTTAGAGAGAACACGGTGACGACAATCACTATACGTCCGTCCCCTTTGAACTATAACGCTCGTGTGCAAGGGAAAAATTGTTACTTCACTTTCTAGTTAAATCCAAACATTTCTTCATGCGGAATTCTCCACCGGTTTTTCTGATTTGAAATGACGGTTACACAAATGGAACAATAACAGAATGACGAATCACAAGCAAAGATTGCGCAAGCAACCAATCCGGTAAAAGATACGTTTCTGTTTCAAATTAGTGACGTACCAAAGAATTAGATTACCACATATTTAAAATATGATATATATAATTAGAAATTATTTTTTATAAAAAAATAAATCATAAAATATGACATTATTAATAAAAACCTAAGATTTTAGATATTTAATATATTTAAAAAAATGTAAATATTAAATTATAATTTTATATTATGATACTGAATCTAATATAATAAAAAAATTTTTTCGATACGCTCCTGTAGATATTAGAATCATAATGTTTATAATATTAAAATATATATTTAATAAATTATATTTAAAAAATTTTTGAATAACATAAATAACAAATTTTGTAATACTTTTTATTATTTATTCAATATTATAAAACTTGTTGAAAATATTCTCACGTTTAACTCAAAACATTCTCACGTCAAATGCCACGTTGTATCAAATAGACCAATAAGCTTCCTACGTTATCTGTATGATTGTACCGTGTTTGCGGTAAAAAATTACTCGTAACTTTATAATAATGTTCACAATGGATTATAAAAAATTTATTATATTGTTGGGAATAATTTTAAGTTTAAGTTATGTCTGTTGCCAATATAGGATGAAAAATGTGAGAATTTAATCAATTTGTTACAACTGTCATGCATGTTGAAATGTCAATTAAATTTTCAATTTCACTTCTATTTCACTTATTTTAAAATTTATTAATAAAATAATCACAATAAACATTATTGTTGATAACTTTAAATAATTTTGTATAATATATAATTTTTCAAGATAAAAAAAATTTATTTAACCTAGCAATTAACCTAAAAGTCAATTCAATTTTTTTATGTTTAAATATGATGATATATTTCAGACTCAAGGATCATCGTTATCGGATAGGGTACAGCAATTAACAGAATTGTCTCTTACAAGACCTGTAATTAAATTTAATGGTGCAAAATTTAAGGAATATATCAAAACTACTCCAAGAAATTATTCCGTTATTGTAATGTTTACTGCTATGGCACCTCAAAGACAATGTCACATATGCAGGTAAATTTAATTATTATATATTTTATTATAAATTTAATTATTATATATTTTCAAATTTTGTTATATTCAATATTAATTAATATTTTATTAATTAATTATTATTATTATTAATTATAATTATTATTTTGTAATTAATTATTTTGTTATATTTATATTTTTTTAGACATGCAAATGATGAATTTGTAATAGTAGCAAATTCATTCAGATACTTACAATCTCATTCAAAAAAATTATTCTTTGCATCTGTAGATTTTGATGAAGGATCAGATGTATTTCAAATGGTATGTAAAACATTATATAATTATATACATATTTCTATAGTTTCACTTGAATAATGTTTATAATAGATGAGATTAAATGCTGCACCAGTATATATGCATTTTCCACCAAAAGGTAAACCAAAACCTGCAGATACTATGGACATTCAAAGAGTAGGATTTGGAGCAGAAGCTATTGCAAAATGGATATCTGAACGTACTGATATTCAGGTATTTATGCAAATGAATATTTATTATTATAATATTTATTTATATAAATGCTACTATTCTCAAAATATAGATCAGAGTATTTAGACCACCAAATTATTCTGGAACAGTAGCAATAGTAATGTTACTAATTCTTATTGGTGGATTTTTATATCTAAGGCGCAATAATTTGGATTTCATTTATAATAAAACAATTTGGGGACTTAGTGCATTGGTAATAATCATGATATAAATATACATATTTAAATAAAATTTTACTTCATAATAATAATATATATATAACAATAATAATAATTTTTAAATATTATTTAAAATAGTTCTTTACACTTACAATGATATCTGGACAAATGTGGAATCATATTAGAGGTCCACCATTCATACATAGATCATCCAGTGGAAATGTAGCTTATATACATGCTTCTTCTCAAGGACAATTTATTTTAGAAACATACATCGTTATGGTTTTGAGTATCCTTTTTTATTAAAATATATAAATAATAACTTATAAAAGTTTTAACTCTTTTTCATAATTTCATAAACAAATATGTCATGTTTTTCATTATTAAAAAACTAATCTTAGAACTATAATATATTTTAATTAGATTTATTATTGATTTTTTTAAGTTGATATTTTTTTAATGTTTTTCTTAATAAAGAGCAATTAGATGGAGCAGTAGTGTTAGGTATGATTTTAATGATCGAAGCTGCTTCACGTAAAGGTGATGTAAAAAAGCGACGAATATTTGCAACGATAGGTGCTGGATTGGTCGCTATCTTTTTTAGTCTATTATTATCGATATTTAGGAATAAAGCACAAGGCTATCCTTATAGGTAAAACAAAAATTTTTTTAAATTATATTTTTTTAATTAATAACGTATTATTTTTATAATGGAGTATGTTAATATATTTATAAAAATGTTTATTTTTATGATATATATAAATATATCAGCACACTCCATTTTTTATATTCTTCTAAGAATTAATTTTATTTCGCATCCCAGAGAGGAATAATTAATATGTTTCAGCTTATTGTTCAAGTAAAAGGATAAGTATAAGAAGTTATTATTTGTATATATTGAAAGGAAATCTTTCAACTTGCCTGGCAAGATTAAAAATTAAACTACATATAATAAAAAAAATACTTTACATTTAATTATTGTTAAAGTGTTGTATTATAATCAATTTACATTTGTTTATATGTAATGTAAAATAAATTAATATTTAAAGTCACATATTCTTTTCCATAATTTTTTAAAAATATTACAAAAATACTTATATTATTAAAATACAAACTCTTTATTCCAATATTCCAGTAATACAACTCTTTATGGCTTAATTAAATATATACAAACATTGCAAACATTATTTAAAATTATAGTTATAATAAATTATAATTATTTATTATATGTTTTAATAATATCATTATGGTTTCTATAATAATATTGTATAATATCAAAAATTTTATATTACTTAAAAAATAAAAGGAATTAAAATTTTTCGAGATTTTGGATAATTTTTAAATGTTTGCATGTACCATTGATGAGTCATTATCGCAGTCCATGTCTAGAATAAAAAAATTTATTAATCAATTTAATAATAATAATATTATTTCAACTTAATAATAATAATATTTCAATTAATAAAATAATAATAAATGTATAATACTAATATGATATACCTGGTTGCATAAGACCCAAATTGTAACATAATGAAATGTAGAACTTTGCCACAAAATTATAGAAAGTGTTATATAAATAATTATCTCTGTAATTTGTAATGCACCTGATACATATTCAAACAGACCATCATGTGGTATTTTATATACTGTAGAATTAATCTTTCCATCTTCATTTTTTCGTAATTTACGAAGAATAAAATTTGACTTAAGTTGTGCATATGTTGATAATATAAAAATAGTTGAACATAATAAATGAAAATATGTAATTTTATTCCAAGAAAAATTTCCTTTTGAACCTAATATAATTCAAATAATTAATCAATTATTTTAATTTAATATGAGAGTATAAATATATTTGTATATACCTTCAACAAAACCCTCAGATTCACTTATAATACATATTAAGGTTCCTATATAATGATAAAATCCAACTATATAATGAAGCACATTCATTTTCTTATCACTGAAGATGTTTACATAATATGTTTCATATAATCGTTTCCAACAATGAAAAGTTAAAAGTAGAATTGCTATAAATGTACTTTCTGATGATACTAAAAATGTTTATTAATTAAATGTTTAATTCAAATTTATTAATTTAAATATAAAATTTAATAGTTTTCAAGTATTTACCTAGTGGTTGTCTAAATGATCCCAGACACATATCCAATATCCACATAATATTTTTGGAGATATTATACTCCCATAAATATATACAAATAACCAAGTATAGTACATAACTTGAAGCTGGTGCAGCAAAAATGTAAAAATGTTTAAACCATCTAAAACATTATAGATTATTTTTGTTTATTTATAATATATTAATAAATTAATATTATATAATTATAATTTTAATATTATTACTCACTTTCTAGGTACTTCTGTTTTTGCAACTATTGGCTCATAAATATTAATAGAATATTTACCATAACGATAAGTACGAGTTAAAAAAATAGGTAAATAGGATTCCATGTAATAGATTAGTAGTCCAACAATACCCGTGAATATCGTACAAAAAATAAAGAAAATACGTATAATATTTATTTGCATCTTATATCGATCTTTACTGAAGATGTATATATAAAATTATTTTTATTTCCACTTTTGTTAAACTACTGTAACAAAACATGTTATTGCATAGTTAAAGTATATAGAAAATATATTATCATGAATTTTAAAAATATTAAGGAAAAATATCTTAAAAATAATACATATATATATATATATATATAAATTTTATTTAAATTAATAAATATGTACAAACATATTAAAAAAAAGAAATATTTTATTAGGACGGATTGTAGTAATAACTTATATAATAACTTATATACTTATTATACATATATATTTAATTTATACATATTTAAAGCTCGATCACATGAGCAAATACTGTAACTAATATCAAATTTTAAAATTTGATAAATTGATAATATTTACATCCGTATGAGCGTTTGTATATCATTCATAAAATCTTATAGCTATGAAAAATATCTTACATTGGATATGCAATAGATATTTGTAAAAGATAAATTATATAGAAATAGGAATTTATACCATATTAAGAATTAATAAAGAAAAATGTAAATAAAAAAAGCATGCATCCTATAAATAGTATATATTTACTACTATGTATTTTATATATGAAATTTTTCAATCAATTGGAAACTGATGAATTTTTTACATTTTCATATATCTTAGTCTTAGTTTCATATATTATTAACTAAAATCCTATCCAGTTAAACTATAAGATACCAATTAAAATTTAAAATTTAAAATCCAAAGTGTTCAATAAGTCCAGAATACAAACCCTATAAAATACAGAACAGAAAATCTAGATATTTTTAATAATAAAAGAATTTAAATTCGTAAAAACAATTGATCAATATGAAAGCTGTATGATCAGATCATAGAAATTTGTTAAACATAACAATTAATTTTCAAAATATGTCCTCTAAACTTATGATGTTTGATGCTCTAAACTTATCATAAACACAAACTTCTATCCTAAAAGTTAAACAATCATTTTGTAAGAAATCAAGTAAATCTCGTATTCGTACGAATTCTGTATAACCAAAACTACGCTTATTCAATTCACATATTGGTTTTCTAAAAGCTTCAAGATCAGGTCTTGATGATGTTATTTCGCGTATATCTCTTTCACTATTAAGAGGATGAACCAAAACAAAATACATTGTCCCATTAAATGGCCAATCAAGACCATCATCATTTTCTGATTTCATTATATGTAAAAGTAATGATAGAAATTCAGGATCTTTAGAAGATACATTAATTCTAGCACAAATTTTGTAACCATTAGGACTTGTATAAAAACCAGGACTATAAAACATTTTTAATGAATCATTCATCATACTTTCAAGTTTTTCATGAAAAGAATGTAATCTCCAAATATAAACACCATTACAACTACGTAAAAACATTTCTTCCTGATTAAATCTTAAAGAAGTTTGTAAAGTTGTAAGTTGAGTTTTTTGATTAGAAACTATTATAGATAATTCTCTGTTTTGTTGTTCCAATACCACTATTCTTTCATATAGATTTCTAAAAAAAACTTTATGTCAGTATAATAAAATATTTAATAAGTTTTATATAAATTTTTTATGTATTAAAATAATAAAATATACTTTAATAATTGTTGCCATTCTAATGATGGTTCACTTTTTTCCATACAAGATGTATTTTTTGGAGGAGGATCCCATAATTTAGATTCTGCAGCTATTGCATTAATATTATTTTGTGAAACAGATACTTGTGGTAATATTTTCAGAATCATCTATGAAATAAATAAAAATTAAATTATTATGTTATCATTAAACATGATTTTATGTAATAAAAATAAACTAACAGTTAAATGAATATTTATATTTTTTTCTAAATGTGCATGCAAATCTTCTTCAATGGGAAAAGTTTCCGTACAACCAACATTCTTAAAAGGACAATATACATTTTGTGAATCTGGAAGAGTTCTTTTATATGTACATTCATTTATATGTGTTTCCATATCTACTGGAGATACTTTAATCTCACAACCAAATTGTTGATAAGGACAAGGTGTACGTTGTTGTGATATCTCTCTGCTTGTATACAAATCTCTAAATAAATCACTTTCAGATTTTAAAGGTTTGCTATCAACTGGACAACAAGCACCTTCTTTTCTAAAATAAAAATTAAATTTATATATATATGTATATAATTTTTAATATATATAAATTTAATATATATATATATAATATGTATATAATAATAATAATATATAATAATAAATATGTATACATATATTTATACATACATTTTTTAAATTAATACCATAAAATATAACTTACTGAAGCCAAGTATATATACATTGCGAACAAAACTTATGACCACAAGATGTTAAAACTGGATCACGTAGCCAAGTTAAACAAATAGGACATTCAAATCTAGGCTCAAGATATTCTTTTATACCATCATCATACTGCATGTAATAATTAAGTTATCAGTGAAAAATAATAAATTGTTAATGCAAAATAAAAGCAAAATTTGTTAAAGAGTAAATTAAAAATATAATACAAAAAAAAATCAATTTTTATAATACAAAATTTAATGCAAAAAATTAGTCAACAAAAAATGGATATAATATTAATATCTACTAATAAATTTATTATTTAAATTTATTAAAAGTACGAATACATACAACAATATTTTCTTCAGCTACTTTAACATGATTTTTAAGACTATCTGACGTGGCCATTATCTACGAAAATTTATAATTTCAAATATATACAATCTGATATTAAAGAAAAAATAAAAATAAAAATTATTTCCGTACTAATATAAAAGTAATACATATATATATATATAATACGAAATATATAATACTTACATGTTAATAATTTTTAAATTATAAGCACAATACAACTTACTTGTAATTATAAGTAATGAAGTTTATACACAGCACAATCACATTATATAGTACACAATTTTTATGAACACATATTCTCTAATATAAATATAACATTTAATTTTAAACAAAATAAATAAAAAATAAATTTTTTTCTCTATTATATTATACTAAATAGTTTTTCTACCATTGTATTCATAGAACAGAAATATTTATAAATATTTAATTTTAAATTATTGAATTTCTAAAGTAACAATTACACTTCATAAATACTTCTTTAAATACATAACAATAGTATCACTTTTGACTATGATTATGATGGCATATATTATGAACAAAAATTAAAATTTTTCTTTATTAACTGTTTTTATTAATTTCGATATTAAAATAGATTATGAATTAATTTATAGTATTATATAATATAATATATTAAATTATATAATATAAATATATTTATAATATTTTTATCACACAAATTAAAAAAATTTTCTACATTTCAAAATAATAATTAAAATAATAATTTTAATTATTGTTCATTTTAAAAATCAAAGTTAATAAAAAACAAAAAAATTAACTTACATGAATAGAGGAATTCTGAATGTTGAATAATTGATTTAAAAGAAAACTATCAATCGTATAAAGAAAAGTTATTTTCTTTTTATTTTTCTTTAGAAAGATAAAATTTAAAAAAAGATTTAAAAAACAAATTATATAAATGTATAAAAAAAATGTCTTAATTTCAATAGTTATATAATTTGTTATTATATTATATTATAAAAACTTAGATATATATATGAATATATAAATATATAATATGTAAAGAAAATATACATATTTTTTCATTCCGTAAATTTTGAAAAAATTTAAAACCCCGTTATCATTATAATATCATTTTCAATGTTACCGATTCAGTATAGAATAAGATTACAACATTAGTGGTTGGAATTAAAACTAAATTTACAATAAAATTAGATGACGAATAAAAAACATATCGAGTAATAGATCTATCTTATATCATATTTATGGTTGAATTTTCGTTGTGTACTAAATCGGTAATGTTGAAAATGATATGAAAATGGTAATGATGAATTAAAGCCTTAAAGTTGTGCGAGAAATTTATTATTTATTTTTTCTGTCAATTCCCAATTTATTTATAATCGATTGATATGATACATTTTATTTGTAATATCATTAATTTTTTTTTTATTTGAATATTCAGTTTTTTATCAATAATATATGTTCATTAGAATTATTAAGTGTCGTTAAATTGCTTAACCTTTCTTCAATGACTACAATTTCAATTTTATTTTAATTGTTATCATAAAAAAAGAAAAAAAAGAAAACTTAATTCAAATTTCACGTTACGTTAATAAATCGTCATCATTAAAAGAAATCATTTTTTTATTAAAATATTCCAAATATTTTCAATTCAAGATGAATGTACATATCAAATACAGTAATCTTAATTATATTGATATTACATTTAGTAGTATCTATGATAAAATGATATATATAAGGAAACTAAAACAAAAAATTTACAAAGAATGTGATAACTTTGTTTATATGTTTGAATATAAAAAATGAAATTGGCATATTAAAATAATTAATATATACAAAATACACTAAACGGAAGGTAAAATCGACGATGGAGAGGAGAGCTTATGGCCTCTCTACATTTACCGGAGTAAACCATTCTTGAACTGATGTTAGAGTTCGCGGGCAGATCGCGGGAACAACCGTACTGGACAACGTTATAAGAGTGGCAGATCACACAATTATGAGAATATACCGATTTTATAATAAAATCGATCGTGTTGAACTCACTGAGAGTTTTTTCTGGTTTCAATGGTAGACGTGCTATTGTACATAGTGGCATGCTTGTCGACATGGAGAACCTGATATATCTCGATAAACCGGAGTCGTAAGTATCAAATTTGCTGCTTCATACGTTTAATCGGGCCAATACAAGAATTGTGAGAATGTAATCAGTATAGAAAACATTTAATTATAAATAAAAATTCATTTTAATCATTTAAAATTTGATTATTCAAGAAAATTTTATGAAAAAAATTTAAAGATTTTTATTCCTTATTATTTTGTATAATTTAAATTTTCCGCAATCAATTATTTAATAATATAAATACAGGAATGAATAAATTTTCGTTGCAAAATTTTATAAATTTAAATAACTTTTATCATGATTTTTTATATTTACTTTCAATAAAATTAATTTAATATTTCATTAATATATCGTTATATTAAATAGAAAGAAAAATTGTTATAATTAAAATTTTTTTAATATAATATATTACGATATTTATATTATTAAATATATTTTATAATTTTTTATAATATTTAATTTTTTTTATGATATTTACAATATAATGGTTTCAAATATAATTTTATAGTAGAATTTTAATAGAATAGAATTTTAATAGAATAGAAACTTTACTATATTTTTTTTTAAATTATCGATATAACTACTTAATTTTAATTACATTCACAAGATTCAATAAGATTTTTATCGTTAGAAAAATTAAATTAAAATTAAAATTAATGCATTAAAATTAACACGCGTGTAAATGGTAGTAATCGATAGATTTGTAATATCATTTGTGCAGAGAAGTTATTATATATACTTCGTATTATAAAGATTTATGTTCAATAAATTCGAAATAGATATCAAATTTTTTTCATTCTTTTTCAGTCAACATTCACGTTATTATCATTGGAAATTCTTCAAAATTAATACTTAAATCAAATGAATGCACCGAATAATTATTTTGAATTATCGAAGAAATCGTGCCAATTAATAAAATAATTAAATAATGCAATAAATAAAGTGAGTAATATTGTTTGTTTTCTATTCGATTAAATAATTATAGTAATCATGAAAAAAAAAGTAGTATTGATAGTGCATGCTATCGCAGATCGACGTTCGTGGTAACAAAACAAGATGATGTCAGGAGGTGATAGGACTTCAGCAAGAAAACGGGTAGACAACTGGATCTGCGTCAACATGTTATTGTTATTTCCTTCGAAATTGTGCGAGAAAAATTGCATGGGGTAAGAAACATTTATATATTTGTTATTTCTTGATTAATTATACTTATTTATCTTTTATATTATTAATATTCAAATTTTGATAAAATATTGATTATTAAACTACAGGAAAAAGTTAAATTGATATTGATTATGAAATTTATTTAATGATTTATTTAAATTTATTTCATGAATCATATTATTGATAAATACATGTTATCACAGCGAGAGGAATTAGAATTATCATACACTAATTATAACAAAATTTAAAAATAGTAAACAGTTACTATTTATAATATAAGAAAGTATTATATTTAAATATTTATATAAAAAATTTGATATTGATAATTTTCAAAAATATAAGAGAAAATTTATGTCTATTAAAATTTGTAATAAATTTATCGATTCGTTAAGTACAAAATTTGAAAAAAAGAAATATTAATTTTTACAAATTTTTTTAAAAATAATTTTTATAAAAGATTCGAATGTTATTTCAAAAGATAAAAATTAAAAAATATAAAAATATTAGATAAAATATTAGATAAATCGTTATATTACATTTTCTCTTGAGTACTTTCCATCGATTGTGATATCGTTATATAAGATAAGTTTGTTCATAAGTTTTTTTCACCCTATTCCATCGCTATATTTTGTCATGGTCCATCGAATTAGTAGAATATTACTATCAAATATAATCGGATAAATTTTTATTAATATTTATATTAATATATTTTTGTAACATAGAAAGAAAACAATTTTTAAATTTTTTTAATTGTCATAAATACATCTTGACCATTTTTGCAAATAACAATTCTTATATTTTCATGAAATATTTAATCTACAATAAATATTCAATTTATAATAATATTTATATTAATTAAATATGTACATTTAATAAGAAGTAATATATAATTAAATTAATAAATTAATATTATCTTAACATTATTTTAATATTAATTAATTTTATTAAATTAATAAAATTAAATTAATATTAGAATGAAAAAAGAATAAATAATATGATAAAATATTTAAATAATGGTGATATGATAATAATTTAAATAATAAATTTAAATAATTCTTCTGATGCATTAATTTCTTTATATATATATGTATATGTATATGTGCGTAATGAAGTTGTTAAAGTAAGAGTTACATATAAATTGGAGAAAAGTTTCATGGAAAGTTAGAGAAACTTATTCATCGTGTTTATTTTTTCAATGATGATTTTTCTTTCATTTTGATAATAACAGATTGCTATACATATGTATATAAGTATATTCAATAAGATATGTAGATATGTAATATGTTACTAAGAGACTTTTTCTTTACTCATTTTATGGGAAGAAGCAATACAACAAAACATTACTTTCAATTACTTCGGTTTCACTGATTTTTTAAATTGAACTGCTTTCTCTCATTATACATCATGAATAGATTTTACAGTTATTTGCCTGCATAATTATATTATCTATGTTATGGAAAATCATCTTTTTGATTTTATTTCAAAGTTAAATAATGATAATGTAATTGAATTGAAGAAAATATTATTTAAATGTAATTATAAATTTTCATATTATATTTGAAATATTAGACAAAATTTTAATTTTAACTTTTAATTTCAATCATTTTCTTTAATACATTTAATTTAGAACACTTAAATTAGGATTATTAAATTAAAAAATATTTTATATCTGCAATTATAAAGTAAAAATGAGTTTGCATAATTATTATATATAATGAGTAATATTATATATTTATATTATAATATTAATGAATTAAAATATTAATATTGAAAAGTCAATTATATTTCAAGATTAAAAAAATGATATACAACTTACATTAAATTTATCTTCTTTGTCCTTGTACATGAAATATGAGTATTTTTATAAAGTAAAATATTCGCTTCAGCCTCATATCGTGAATTATTCATAAAAATCAGATCGTGTTTGTGATACATGGCATAACTTTATTTGTTCTCGGTGGCATTTACACAAATCTCTAATTCCAAGGGGAAACATAGTACAATTGAATCTCGAATCTCGAAGAGAAAAAAATTTAAAATCTCAAAATAATCAAAGATAACATCAATTATTCACAACCTCAAATAATATTTATTCGAAATTCGAAAGTTACAAAAATCATTCTCAAAAATAATAAAAATTTTGAAATTTTTACAAAAGTTTTGAAAGAGATTTAAACGATGGAAAAAAAGAGAAATAGATGAAAATCTAAAATAGAGAATTAAATGGCTCAGTTCAGTTTTCAACAATTAAACATAATCGATTGGCACCGGTTATCAGGAAACCGTCATGGTTCCATATTTGTGCACTACTTATTGTCCGATAATGAAAATGGTAATCTTGGGTTATCGGGAACTGGCTACATTTACGATAATTAAAATGGACAAAGATACAACTGAGTCAACTGGAAGACAGTTTCTGCCGATATCGCGACAGTTCCATATGACATTAGGGTAAATTAATAGAGATCATCGTCTTTTGCTGTAATTGTATACACAGAGCAAGGTTAGTGATACTTTGTGAACAATCTCTGAGAAATTAATAATAGACTGCTGTTTCCTTATTTTTTTTTAGAACATGACTGTCTTTTATTAAATTTATAAAATTATTTTAATTATCCTATACAGAGAATATTGAAGAATCATAGTAATGTAAGTCATAATTATTATGAATTATTATTTATATTTATAAATTAATATTTAAGATTAATATACTGCTATAATTCTCAGATCTTCAACGAAATAAGAAAAATTTAAAAATTCTAATAAGTTTTTTTTATTAAAAGAATAATTTTAATATTATTTATAATAAATTATGATAAAATATGATAATATAATAAAATAATGGAGTAGAAATTATCAATTAAAAATAACAATAAACAAGAAAGTTGTAACTTGGAAACAATTGATTGTGAGTAAGGAAAAATAAAACTTAAAATTTTATAGTCTTTTAGTGTCAAATAGAACTGATCAGGTTTAATATATTCAACAATATATATAAAATATATTAAACAAAAAGTAACAAAATTATATATTATACGATACACAACTTAATTTCTTTATTTAATTTTGTAACTTTTTATTTAATAGTAATTTTTAAAATAGTGTTTGTTTAAAAAATGGCAAAAACAATTTTTTTTCATATGATTTGAAATGTCTGTTTCATTTGTTTCTTTAAATCACATTAAAATATCTGAATCTTTCCATAGATAAAGAAATTACTAAAAGTGGTAAATGATGATAAGTATAATATAAAGAAGAAAAAAATTATATTTTTTGGAGATTTATTTCACTTGTTAATGAATACGTTTGGATGATAAGATATTGTATAAATAAGTTTCATAACATTCATTAATTGAATTTCAAGATAATTATTTTTCTATATAGTTTATTTTAATATTTTACATTTATATTTGTAATTTTTTCTCTGTCTCATGTTAACAAAAACATTTCTTATAATTTAATAATATTTTATAATATTTATAACATTGATTTTTTTTATATAAAAATATGACTGTTTTGAAACTTTTTAATGATATATATATATTTATGAAATAATGATATATATTTCTTTGATTATTGAATAAGGTCAATGAAACTATATCTTACTTCTCTCACTTTTATTTCTTTGATTACTGAATAGGTCAATAAAACTATATCTTACTTCTCTCACTTTTATTTCTTTAATTATTGAATAAGTCAATAAAAATATATCTTATTTCTCTCACTTTTACAAATATTTGTCTCGATATACAATGAAAACAAGAAATTTAAACAAAAAAAAAAAAAGTTTGTCTTTAGAGTTAACAAGCTAATACGAGCTTATAATTCAATGTAACTGTATTAAGATGACAATCATGATAGGAGAAGCGGATACATTTTAGAGTTCAAAAGCTATTACCGCGACCGGATGTGTGCAACTAACTCTCTGATGACCCTCGCATTTACCACACGTATCTTTGATGAGAGTGTAAATAGGTATATGTTTTGAAGCTTGTTACAGAATCATGTTATTTCAATGTATATCTTTGATGTTTGATAAAATATAAAATAAATATCGTGACCAATTGAGACATCTTTGATGGTCGAAAAATGATCTCGATTAACTGATAAAAAGATAACTGAAGAAAATTATCTTATTCGATTGTTGCTAGATGACGTAAATAATAATAGGAAAATTTTATAAAAATTTTTTAAAAATTAGAAGTGAAACGCTCGAAACTTCAAAACATATCGAAAAAAAATTTTTCGAATTTTCGAATTTCGATTGAATCTTATAAATTTGATAAAATTCTGAAAATAAAATTTTTTCAAAAAATATAAATAAATATTCTAAATTTAAAAAATTTTTGACATTTCAAAAATTTCATAAAATTTAAAAATATTTCGATTCATTTCTAATAAAAAAAATTATAAATACGTAAAAATCATAAAGTTCTATATTTTTTTTTTTTTGGATTCGATAAAAAAATTATTCTATTTATTCAATTCTTCGCAGCTCTTGAATAAATATTTCAGTAAATATATAACAATTTTCACGCGTAATAGATATACGGATATAGAGATTACTTTTGGTATTGAAGGTCGACATGTAAATGATTTATCAATACCTAGTGATTATACATGGAAACTTGGGAAAAATAACTTCCGACAATCCGTAATCCAAACATTCCTCCTTTAGACGTGTCACTGATGCTAAACACTCGTCAAAATTTTACGTCATTTCAGCGAATTTTACCGTTATTTATATTTATGAGTCAGATAAATATGTTAAAGTCATCTTATTGTTAAGTATTATTCGAAATAATTATAAAAATTTCAGTAATTAATCAATAGTGGATTAGAAATAAACAATACGATAAAAAATCAATAATAATATTCGAATTATTTAATCAAGAAACAAAAAAATTAATACAACATCAACATAACATAATGAATATTATATGAATAGATATTAATGAATAAAAAATTTATTTGGATGAATCATATATATATATATATATATATTTATATAAATTTATATATTTAAAATTATTTATTTTTATAGTTATAAAAAATTGATTTAATGTTTCGAAGCAATTTATTTCTAGAAATCGTAAATCTTTTTTTGATTTCTTATTGAATCTATATTATAAAAAAATTAATACATCATAATAAATCATAAAGAATTGTCAAAAGAAACTAAAAATAAGAATAATAATTCAATGGACCTCTACCCATCTTGTCATTCAAGCTTATTCATATCCCATGCAGATACAATCTTGTTAAAAAATTTTAGGATTTTTCATTTATTATATTTGCAAAAACAAAATAAATCATTAATAGATAGTGTAGAAAATAAAGAAGGTTATAGTATAAATAAAGAAAGATTGAAAATTTTACTAAGAAATGCATTCAATTAAAATTTTTTATTTATATTTTATCAAATAATAAAATTTATAAAAAAAATGATTAAATATAATATATAATAATAATAATATAAGTTTTATATGATAATTTTTTAAAAATTTTTTAAGTAGAAGTTTATATTATTTTTCATTAATCAGCATAAATGTGCAAAGTATACATATTAATTTCATTCTCAATACAATTATTATAATTTATTACTAAAATATATAACTATATATTTATTAATTGCTTTTATAAAACTATTATAAAGTATATTATTCATTAAAGATAACTATTATAATATATTGTATTAATTATAATTTATTACAAAGTAATGAGAGTTATTATTTATTATAAAAAGAAATTATGTTGTAAATCATAATTAAAAAATTAATATTTTATTACAGTAATAATTTTTAATCTTCAACTTATTAATTAATTAATAAAATTTTATATTTGAATTATATATTCAAATACTTATGGGTGGGAATGTACAGAGAAGGAGGGATCAAAAATTCTTAATTTATAACCTCTCCTCTTAAAATACTAATCCTTCGAATAATATCTTCAAGAATACGTCATCTCATAATATATATATCATAGAAATAATTTCCAGGATGACTATTTATATTTTACAAATAATGTATTTTCTATTCCATCTTTTGTACTGTATATATGAATATATACAGTAGTAAAAGTAAAAGTTAGACAATACACGATCTATGGTGTAAGTGTTTGCTATTCATACTTACTACTGAAAAAGATTATCCTTTACGCACTCAGAAATATTTATTTTTACTTCAGTCTTCTTTTCTTTTATTCACTATCCTTTTCTATGTTCGATACAAAGGGAACTCTAAGCTTCAGTCGAGCCATATTGGGATCAAATTTCGACTCAACTATTCCATTAGTACCTCGTTTAACTCTCGATTTTCATATCAATTTAATGAGAATTTGAAAGTTTTTGAATAATTTGAAGGTATTTTTTAATTTTTTTTACATTAGAATTTATAAAGAATTAATTATTAATTAATTTTTTTATGAATTAATTCATTATTTTTTTCTTTTAAACAAAATTAATTGCTACAAAATATAATGAATTATTATTTTACTTACATATTTCTAACTTTTTATAATGTAAAAACATAATATTTTTAGTATTTATAACTCTTTATTTTATCATTATTTTTAATGAAGTCTCTGATTAACATATGATTAATTATTATTTCCTTGCACTTTCTAGCACTCATAATTCTTTATTTTATCATTATCTTTAGTAAAGTCTTTTGTTAACATATGATTAATCATTATTTCCTTGCATTTTTTATGATTCTACAACTAGAATAATATTTTGATAAAATATTTTCTAGAATATATTTTTAAAGAAAATTATATATATAATAAATAAAGACTTAAATTTTATCATAAAAATAATATCTCTTTTTTTAAATTTCTTTTTTAAAAAATATAAAAAACTAATTAATTACATTGATAAACATTTCTTGAGGGAGATACAATAACTGGGCTCTTATCTTATACTTATACTTAATTCACAACAGGGTTCCGTCAAAATCTATCGTTCTTTTTTCATTCTCTCGTCTTCCTTACTTCGAGCTCAAGAAAAAAGCAATAAGCAGCTCGTTGAAACAGGAACACACAGTGGTTCTTTCCGTTCGAGCCCGTTATCATGGTGGAGCGTGGATGACGGATATAGCGCGTTACAGAGGCACAACAAGTTGCATGGTTCGAGGGGACAGAAGCGAAGGAGACCTCTATTGGCTCGATTGAAGGCTAAGTGACGGTAAATAGTACGGTGTAACATGTCGTATGTATATTCGAATTAAAATTTTGTTGCGATTTTTGAAGTGAGCTGATTATAAAAATGTTTCTCGGAGTATTCACTACCGGTAAACCACGTGGCCTTAGTGATAATCATCCGGTGCACCGTTGTTTTTCTTCATAGTATCATCTTCATAGTGTGTGACAACCACATCCGTTGATTCGTCGGCAATTGTGATAGATATGAAGAATCAAGTGATATTTCGTTATGTTTTGTGTGTTAATGTGAGATAATTTCATTTATTGTAGTTTGAAATATGATCATCGTATAGAATATATTCTAATAGATCGAATAATCGAATTATTAAATTGCAATATTTTCTGTGTTAATATGAAATAATTCTATTCGTTAGTAGCTTGAGATCATTGTCGTAATATATTTATTTTGAAAATTGTGATAGATAGTTACTTTTGACTTATTAGTGAAACATTCTTAATATGAAATAATTTTATTGATTAATAAGATAATCTTAAAAACATAATCATAGTATAGCTATTTCATGAATTACGATAAATATATATATATTTGGTGTCTAATATAAACAATTAAACAATCAAGTGATTTTGTTTGAAAGTTTTATATATAATGAATAAAAAATTCTTAATTTCAAGCAATTAATTAATTAATGTCTTAGAAAAATTAATATTTTAATGATTAGAAATAATGTGATAGATAAATATTTTTGGCATTTAGTTCGGGCGATTAAACAATCGAACGATTGAAAACCTCATTTTAGAATTTCGCATATAATCGATGAAAAATTATTTAATTTATCATCGTAAGTGTATTATTTTATTTATTAATAGTGAATAAATTAGCCATTGTAAAATGCACTCATATGAAAATTTCTAATTCCATATTGTCAAGTTGAATCTAATATTTATCAGATCAGATCTACTGATAATTTAGATTTATGTACAAATTTTTTTACGTAAAAAAGCAAATTTCTGATTAATCAAACTAATATTAAAATAGTTCATTATAATTTTTAGTGTTTTATGATTCACAATTTGAGAAAATTAACTGAAAAGTATATATGTACACGGTTTGTTATTAGATTTTAATGCCTAATATAACGATAAATTTTATGACAAGTTTTATAATAAATCGGTAAAACAGAGTTTTTATTATTGTTCACTATGCGATAGTATCGTGACTGACTAACATCACGTGTTAATATGAGTCTATTACGTCAACTATACTTTGTTTGGATGTTGAATTTATTTGATCGGCTTCTAAGAGCTGTTTGAGCTCGTTACGTGATATAATTTCCTTGTTATATGCAACTTTGTATATGTGTATCTTCGGAAAGTAATAATGCCATTATTTTTTTAATTATTATGATAATACATTGGATAAATAATAAATTGAAATTAAAATAATAAATTTAAATTTTTAAATTCTAAATTAGAAAATAGAATAATTATCTTTTTCTAATTTTAATAATTTATTCCTCAATTATTCATTCGCAGTTTATATTAATTAAAAAACTATTTCAAATTAATAAGCAAATTTGTTCGAAGAAATTTTCAAATTAATTCTAAATTTCATTTTTTTATGAGAAGAAAGTAAAAAAAAAAAAAAAAAAAAAAGGTTAGAATAGAAAAAAACAACGATCTCTCAGCAGATGGAACCATGGTGGTTCTGCGTATATACATATACATATATAGCTGTGTGTGTGATATGTTGTACGACAAAATAGGAACGTTCACTTGCATGGTTTTGCTGCAGGGTCATGGCTGTGAAAGAATGGTTCAGAAGACTACAGCCGGTCCAGTTGTACCTGGTCCTGTTCTTCACCACCGCTTTCTTCCTCGTCGAGATAGTCGCTAGCCATGTGACTCATTCACTGACATTGCTACTCAACGCTTATCATATGCTGTGCAACATTATTGCACTTGTCGGCTGTATCGCATCAATCAAGGTAAGTTTCAAACAAAAATTGTAAGCATGTATAAATTTCATTTTTTAGTAATTTTTATAAAAAATAACAAGTTTTATATAAGTTAATAATAAGTTTATATTATATAAAAATTATAAGTTGAAGATATCTAAATTCTTTTCCTTTTATATGTATAATTGTAAAAAATATATTAATATATGTATAGTATTATTATATTTTTGGATTTTTAGCAAAACATGATATTTATTTGGATCAAGTGAGAGGTAATTATAAAATGATTATTATCATTTTGAATATTTTTCTTTTGTTTTTATCACTTGTTTTAATTTTTTTTATCATATGGAATATTTGTTTAATAATTTTTATATCTTTTTTTTTTATTCATCGAATTTCATAAATTCATTGTATTTCATATTGAATTAAATTGATGCATTAGAAATATGTTATCTTGTTAGTAAAAAAAAATGAAATACAGAAAAAAATTTCAAGGAAACTGATAAGTTTATCCATAAAAGATTTAAATACAATCTTTTTTGTTATCTATCTATATCTATATATATATATATATATATTATTAGGATTACCTTCAAAGTTCTTTGCTTGAAAAACTTCTTTAATGATATGAAAACTAACATAACATCAAATTTAAAATTCATTCTTCAAAATAATTTCCAAAAAAAGATATGAAATTTTTATTTTTTTTTATATTGCATTCTTATTCTCTCTTCTAGATAATGTAGCCATTAATAAATTATTTTCATACAAAATATTATTTTTTTATTCGATTTAAACTCGTACATTATTGTAATCATAGTTAACATGATTACAATTGATTCAAATTTAAATTTAAAAAAAGAAGTGATTAATATATAATATTATTAAATAATAATATTAATAATAATATTAATAATATTAATAATAGTATTAAAATAATATTTTAATTATATGATATTATAATTCTTATTACTAATTATGATATATCTTATAAATCATCATTATTATTATTTTTAACATCATTAATGTCATATTTTTATTCTAATTATTTGGTTTTTCTTTCAATTACAAAGTTAAATTTTAAATAGAAATTATATAATAAATTTTTATGTAGATATTTAGATGAAGAATAGATAAGAAAAAATAATTAAAATAATATATTTAAAATTAAATTAATTGTTTTTATTTATAATATAATATCATTTATTTGTGACTTATTAATTAGTCTTATTCAAGTAAGTACTAGCATATTTCTTTTTTGTAGTATAGTCATCGTCAAAATGGTTACAATGGTAACAGCACTTCTAGTTCGTTACGAAATTCTGTTATTTGTATAAATGGCGATGAACGAGGTTCTTCTACATCTCTATCAACAAAAACTAAGGTAATAATAAAATGATTCGAATATTTATTTTCTTTTTGATTAACAAATTATTAAATCAATTATTTTATTTTCTAGAATTTCAACAATCTTATATCGAAATTCTAATTTATTTTAATTGTCAATTATAATTTATTATAAAAGATTTAAGATTTTTTTAAGGAAAATTTAAAAAAAAATTAACTTAATCTGAATCTAAATCAAACACAATTCAAATTTAATTCAAACTTATCTCAAATTCATCCTAAATTTACTCAAATCTATTCCAATTAAAACTTCGATATGTAATATTAAAAATATTTTTGCATATATCTTTGAAACTAAAATTCATTGACAATTATATTTAAGCACTAAAAAAAATGATGATAATATTTATACAAAATATTTTAAATTAATGAAATATTCTTTATTTTAATAAGTGAAAAAATTATTTTTTTTAGCAATCACGATCGGATAGGCGAATGAAAAACACTTTCGGTTGGGCGAGGATAGATATTGTCACGATGCTTGTCTGCTGCGTATTTCTAGCATCCTTCTGTTTTTCTTTACTGGTTGAAGCTATGCAGACTTTGGTACACATAGACCACTTGGACGAAATGCACCATCCTCTGCCTGTTCTTACAATTGGTGCATCTGGAATCCTCCTCAACGCGTTTTGTTATATATTAATTGGAGGATATACCTTCAATCAAGGTATTGTTCTTCACGTCACAATGAATGGAGATGTGATATTACGAAGGTAATCAACGTTACAGATACAGTAGAATTTCTTGTATCTAAATATAATGTATGAAAAATAATATTTGATTATTTAATTTTTAAAACAATTTTTAAAGTTCAATGAATAAATTATTTATCTATTTTTGATTTCATTAGATTCAATGACTATTTTATAAATGGATATTTTATTCTCATCTAGTTTAAAATCAGATAAAATATATCTGAAAAATTAAGATATAGATTTACTTATTTTTAAAAATTTAGACAAAATATAGAAAATTTAAATCAAAATCAAAAAATAGTCATTATTGTATTTTGATAATTTAAAACAAAGTATTTTCAAAAGTTAAAATATACAATTATCTATTCTTGAAAATAAAAGACAAAATATAAAAGACTTTCAAAACTAAGATACATATTTATCTATTTTCTAGAAATGTTAATTCACAGCAAACGAAAGAGGGTGAACAACAGTTATCTTCGCAAACCAGACGAAGTCCATTGGGCATACCAAAGAGCCAAGGACTTCGAGAAACATGTCGTGATGCTTTGGGCTGTGTTTTCGTTATCTTGGTATCTATTCTAGTATATTTCACTGATTCTGGCGTAGCCAAATATATCGATCCACTTTTCGCTATTATTTCTTCCATTTCACTCTTCGCCCTCAGTTATTCATATAGTAAGTATTTTCGTATAATTTTAATTTAATCTTTTATTTGAATTATAGATTATTTTTATATAATATTTTCAACTTATGATATTCTTGATATTTTTTCTAATGATATTTTTTCTATTATCTATATATATATAATTCTAATATTGTTAGATATAATGCTCATTATATTATTTTCATCATTTATGAAAATTTTTATTTCATTATAGTGAAAGAATCAGGTTTGATATTGCTTCAAACTATTCCTAATCATATAAACATCGATTCTCTTAAAAGAGAATTGCTAGAAGCTTTCCCTGGGATTGTGAATGTCCATGATTTACACGTATGGCAATTAACGGGACAAAAAATAATATCGACAGTTCACATCATATTCTTGGACCCAATGGTAAATATCTTCTTTTTGGCGAATGTATCTAATAAAAAATAACATTAATTGGATCGCAAATATCTTCTTATATAGGTATATACCAGTATTACTGATCAAGTAACAGCATTTTTTATAGAAATGGGAATAACTCAAGTTACGATACAGCCAGAATTCCATAAGGTATGTAAAGAAATTTAATTTATAAATATCATGATAAATAAATAGTCATGAAAGAAATAAATAAGAAATAATTAAAAATGATATAAAATATAAATTGATTATATTTATATAATCAATTTAATTTATAATATTATATTATAAATATATTATATAAGTATTAATAATATTATATTTATATAAGTATTATATATTTTATACAGAGTGAATCATAACTTAAAATAAATTATAAATAAATTATATAAAAATATTAATATATTATAATAAAAATATTATTATATTATAATAAATTATATATATTATATATAATATATATTATATATATTATATTATAATAAATTGATACAATAAAAATAAAAATAAAAATTTTAGAAAAATCTATGAGAAATTTTAGCGATTTTGTTTTTTTTTTATGTATATTAAGAGTTTGTGACCTAATGGGTTAAAAATTTTAATTTTTTTATAATATCAAAATATTCAAATAATTAAATATTAAGTAATAAATAATACAATAAAGAACTTTTTCATATTATTTTTAATTTGATCAGATGAGGCCAAACATGGAAAAAACTGGTTGTCTAATTCGTTGCCACGGTGAACATTGTAGTTCATCTCAATGTTGTTCAAAAGAAAAATTTATCGAAGACTCATGTTCAGACTTATCGACCAAGAAACAAGGACAATCCATAAATAAGAAACTCGAGAAAAAGGAAATCATTCCTTCTTCAACTACAATTGATCTCAAGAAATTCGCTATTCATGATGAAGAAAGTTCACGATCGTGTCAAATGACTACAAATCAATCTGACGGAAGCTCATGCCAATCAAAGAACAAACAAAGGCAAAGTGATAAAGATAATACGAGAGACGAAAGTTCCTATGCGATAAACGTAGATGTTAATGATGAAAATCATGTTTCACGTACTACGAATCACAGTAACATTAATCCAGAGGTCGCACCATAACATTGATTTTAAAAAAAACATTATAGAGGACGCTTTATTGAATTGGATCAAATGTAACCTCAAAACGATAGAAGATATATAAATAGAAAAAATTAATGTATACAATTAAAATTTCGAGTGATAAATTATATAATGCATCATTTTCAATATGAAAATATAGATGAAAATATAGAACATATTTTAAAAATTTTAATGAAAATTTTATTAAAAATTTTCATAAATATATTTTCGTAAAAGAAAAAAAATGAAAGCATATTTTTTCTGCTAGTATCTTTGTATAATTAATATCTTCATATAATTAGAATTAAAAAAAAGTAAAAATAATCTCGAAATTTTAAAATACCTCCATTTTCAATTTAAATACATGTACTGAAATTTTAATTAAATTTAATTTTGCCTTATGAAATTTTATTTATATTATTTATATGTAAATATATATATTTGCTACGTTTTTAAGGTTATAATTTGACTCAATTTCAAGAATGTATAAAAGTCAATTATTATAATGTTTTTAATTATATTTTTTAAATTTAAATTTTCAACAGAATTTATTTTGAAAAATTTTTTATTTTTTAACTTTTTTTAAACTAATTAATAAAACAGAATAGACCACCAACTAGTTATTTTTTAATTATTTAGTTTTATTATAGTAGTATTATGACATATTTACTATTTCATTATTACATATTAATATTTAAAAATAGAATTGTATGAAAAAAAAATTAATTCTTATGAAATTCCTCAAGATAATATATTTTATATTAGTCTTAATGAAATAGCAAAATATTGTTTTACTAAAGCAATATTTATTATTCATTTTTAAATATTTTAATATAATTTGATGAAATATGCTTAGAGATAAAGTTATGATATATACAATTTTTTATATTATGTGTTATTAAAACATATTTTAAGATAATCATTTATCTTAAATTTATATTTAATATCAAGGATAAGAAGACTGGAAGTTATATTAACCCTTCAATGGCATATGAATTTTTTAAGTTAGATATGAGTTTTATTTATACATATATAAAAAAAATTCTGCATTCTGAAAATTTTGAAAATTCATAAAATTTTTTATATACATTCAAATATCTATTATATATTCGTTATTTAAAGAAAAATTTAAATAAGTTTTATATTTATAATTAATTTGCGATAATGAATAAGAAAAATGAATATGCATTGCAAGATTAAATATTTTGTGATTTGTATATAATTTAAATAGAAAAAATATTAATAATTAATTCGTGTAATAGTATAATATTTATTTAAGAAAATTTTAAGAAAATTATTTTGAACAATCATTGTTGCAAAATATTGATTATAATGTTTTAATGTGATCTTTTTGCTACTATAATTTCTAATAAGAAACATTATGATCTTATTATCCTATCATTAATTATAATTATTTTAAAATATTATTTGATATTTTGTTATATAAGAAATTTGCATCAATTTATAATGTCATTTTTATAATGTATAATATATTGTTTTATCTATAGTTATGTGTAAAAAAAAAGTGTTTTAAAATGTAATAATAAAAGAATTGAATCAATATGTTGTTTTTATAAATTTTTATCTTAACAAATGAAATTACCACAAAAAACAATTTAAAGAATAATGAAACCCAAAAATAATATTTATTCAATTATTTAAAACATTATTTAAAAAATTTTTTTAAATTATCAATAATTTATATAATTGATCGATTTAATTTTAAATGAAAAAAAAGCAGAAAAATTTATAAAATTTAGTTGATTATTATATATAATACTAACTAAAGAAAATCTTCTAGATTGTATATTTTATTTATTTTTAGCAATTTTTATAAAAAATATTTCAATCATTAAGATTTTTTTATATAATTTCAAAGTTATCAATATATTCTTAATAAAATTTTATATTTTTTTTATTTTTCTTTTATTTTTTTTTAAAGTTTTTTTAGTATTAAATTGATATTTAATAATTTAAAATTATACATTTATATTTCAATTAATCATTGTGAAAGAAAAAATTACTTTAATATTGTATATATTGATATTAGTAGTCTAAGATGAATGTACTCGTACTGTTCTACTTTCTACTCGTCAAATACCAATGATCTCGACTGATTCACAGCTAAATCGTGTTAATTTAAAAGTCACACTTATATCGACCTTTCAAAATCGAATGAGCCATACTAGTTTCTCAATGAAAAATATTTTATAATTTTCATTAATATCGTTTTAACTTTTCAATAAATTTTTTAGAGAAATATATTATTTATATGTATTGAAGTTTGAAAAAAAATTTTAATAAAATTTAGAACAATTTAGAACAACAAGAAGGAGAAGATCAGGAAATAATTCTTTAATATTTTCGATTCACCATAACTAAAAGTAAGTATTTCATTCCAAAAAAATTTAATTTATTTTTTTATGAGAACATTATTATTTTAAATAATTATCATATTCGTGTTTCATATTTGTTATTTTGTGGAACTTATTTATTAATGTCATTTTATTTATTAATGTCATAAAATAAAATTGATTTATTTGTTATTAAACAAGAAATTTGCATATATGTATATAGATAAGTTAATTTTTAGTTAATTGTGTAGTTTAAATTTCTAAAAATATACAAAATATATACTGCTTCAAAAAATGAAGTTCTAATTATAGGAATTATTAATAAAGACGATAAGCAAACAGATATTGTGTATATATTGATAGGATTGCAAATTAATAAAAAAATAATTATATAAATCTCTAGGTAAATATATGTTTTTTATACTATTTTTGAAAAATTTTTTATATCATTTTATTTTCCATAAAATCTATCAATTAAAATTGTTTATCTTTTTATAATAATAACTTTTGTTAATGAGGATTTCTAATTTATAATTTATATTTGTATTTTTTATCAATTTTAATTTATATATATAGAATCAAATATCTTGTTTCATTCTATTGTAGGAACTATCTCTAACTATTTATCATCGTTTACTATTTATACACGCAATATAATTCTAATAATACCATTGTTTATTATTATGCAGATTTTCATACTTTTTTATATGTATCATTCCAAAGAAATATTTTTCTATTCATTTCCTTTCAAAGCTTAATTTCAAAAAAATTATTTGCATATGTATTGAGAAAGCATTATAGCAACGAATCGTTAAGTTTTAAAAATTTTCATTGATGCAAATCTATTATTAAAACATAAAATAAATAACTTATTTATCATATTAAAAATAACTAACATAAAGTAAATATTATCTTTTTTAATTAAAATCTAGTATTTCAAAACATATATGAAAATTTAAATTTTGATTATTTAACCTTAAAAAAATGAAATATTTGATTAGATAAATTTCATACAAAAATATCTATAATTCTTTATATAAAAATAAAAGTTCCAATATTTTTTACAAAAATATTGAATGATAAAACTTTCGAACTAACATTCTCTAATTTCTTTAAAAAATTCAAATACTACGCATGCCCAATTGAACGCATATAAGAAAGTGACATGGCGGTTCTCCAATCTTCTATTCCCGCGATTAAATTCGAATACAGACTAAATGAAGGAGAACAAGATGACGTCGTCAACGATAACTCGTAATACCAGTCACATAGTCAGAGAATCGGTCAGGGTGGGGCTCGTTGCTCGTAGAATCGTGTTTGTGTGTAACCCGTTCGTTCGGTTCATTCCTTCAGTGAGAAACAGTACGTCGAACATTGGTGATCGTGCATGGTGGCGCGTATGTATCTACGCGTATTCCTCTATGAAAGAGGTTGTCGCTTTCAGTGTGTTTTCTTGTTGAAAATATGAAATGACCAGTGAATAATTAAAAATCGGTGTATGTGTAATAAATAAAGAAAACGAAGATGATACATGTCTCAAGAATAGTCAATGCAATCGTAGTTATCCTTGTTCTCAATCGAGGTAATGTCTTTACCTGTCATTTATATTCACCTGGCGACCAATCCGTTGTGTTTCGGTGAGGTGTCATGATCACGTGGTTACCATTGAGTCATGCTAAGAGAAACAGGTTTTCTGAATGCTGCATACCATTTGTTATTGTGTATCTCATTGAGAGTTACTATCATAAGGAACAAACTTGACCTTACTTATATGATTATTGATGATATTAAAAGGTTAATTATCTTATTTAAGATTTTATTAGTGTTTTTTAGATTAAAGTTTGACAATTGATTAAATTTGACAATTGATTTCAAAGATTTATAGTTTGTTCAAGTTTTTTTTATTGTAATAAAAAAGAAGAATAAAGTTTTATTGTAGAATAATAATTTTAGGAGTATACATATATTGTTGTTCAAGATACACATTTTCAACATTTTGAAAATTATATGTATAAAAATTTTAGAATTTGATATTTTTAAAAATAATGTAATTTTGAAATTATAAAATAATTATTTAATTTGTAAATTATAAAATTTGGAACCTTATTAATCTTTGCTCAATGAAATACTTTAAATATTTTTCTTAGAACAATATGTTTTTGTTTCTTAAATTATATCATTGATTTATTATCTATTTTGATGTATAAAATATTTCGAATTCAATGACGCGTTAAACAAATAATACTCAGTTGCTTCTCGCAACTTGCATAATAATTAGATACATTAATTGCATATGTTTCTTTCTAGTTTTTCTACTTTTAAATCAGAAAGTATCTCTAAAAATAGTATAGGAATAAATCAGATTCGTTTTAAATGTTTCATTATCATTTTGGCACTATATGTAAATAATTAGTGAATAAAAAATTTCCATTCATTTTAAACTGAACATATTATATAAATTAAAATTATGATTCTTAAAAATTAATTTTTAAAATATTTTGTAATGAATAGTAAATAATAAAAGAAATAAAATGAAATATTTAAAATTCAATTAATAAAACCTATACTTATACTATATCATTATAACAATATTTATTTAATTAATGCAATAAAAATATGGATAAAAATTAAAGAAAAAAAAAAAGAATATTTCTTATGTGATATAATAATTGAGCAATATATTATCATAATTTTACAAATTACATTGCTATTTTGCTAATACTCTTACATAATGATATCAGATTTTTTTGAATGATTTTTATAAATCATGAATTAATTCTAAAGATAATAAAATATTATTAATGTAATTAAATAACTAAGTACTTATTATGCAGAAAAAAGTTTATATACTTAAAATAAATTATTTATGACTTACTTCCTACTTTTCTTATGATAACCTATAAAATATAGATCGCAGATAAATGTAATGATCAATCAACTCACAGTAGTATCTAATTACAACATTCCATTGGAATATATCTATATATATAT